GTGTAACTCAATACTCAAATGTGAAATAATATAAATGTTTCATAGTGTATAATTATTAGTAGCTTTTTTCTTCGATAACAATTACTGTTTGTCTTCCTAATAAAGTGTCCACAATGCAATGTAGTGCAATGTACTCTTCTCACACGGAGAAGATTTGAGCCCTAATCACCAGACTTGCTTGAGGCAGATTGGCGATTTCCAACTTATTTTAACAAATTATAAGTCCAGGCTATCTTGCGATGTTTTCCGTCGACACATGTCAGTTGTGGATAACTAATCATAGGAATTGTAATATACATAGTCTGGCCATAAATACTGTTACAATTAAAAATAAACAAAATATTACATTTGAATTTGGAATCTGTCATTTTTATATAATTTTTCATTGTGTTTTTTATTTTGGCGCCAATAAATTGTTCAATATTTTGCGATATTAAAATGGAGTGGTGTGATAAAGAGAACCGAATCGCTGTGATTGCATTACACAAAGTGGGTATGGAGCCAAATGCAATTTTTAAAACTCTCCACACGCTTGGCATTAGTCAAAAGTTTGTGTGCAGGGCTATTAATATAGGTACAATGAGACCTCCTCTGTTTGTGACAGAAAAAGATCTGGCCGTCCACGTAGTGTTCGTACGAAAAAGGTGGTCAAAGCAGTAAGGGAAAGAATTCGAAGAAATCCTGTCCGAAAGCAAAAGATTTTATCTCGGGAGATGAAGATAGCACCTAGAACCATGTCGCGTATTTTAAAAGACGACTTAGGACTTGCAGCCTATAAGCGACGCACTGGACATTTTTTAAATGATAATTTAAAAAAGAATAGGGTGATAAAATCTAAACAACTACTGAAGCGGTACGCAAAGGGAGGTCACAGAAAAATTTTGTTTACGGATGAGAAAATGTTTACAATTGAGCAACATTTTAACAAACAAAATGACCGTATTTATGCTCAAAGCTCTATCCGACTTCAGTAATGGTTTGGTGGGGTGTTAGCTATGAAGGAGTGACCGAGCCATACTTTTGCGAAAAAGGTATCAAAACATCGGCACAAGTGTATCAAAATACCATTCTTGAGAAGGTAGTTAAGCCCCTTAACAACACCATGTTCAATAACCAACAATGGTCCTTCCAGCAAGACTCGGCGCCGGGTCATAAAGTTCGGTCCACGCAGTCTTGGTTAGAAACGAACGTTTCCGACTTCATCAGAGCTGAAGACTGGGCGTCGTTTAGTCCCGATCTTAATCCTTATATACATTATGATTTATGGTCAGTTTTAGAGAGTAGGGCTTGCTCTAAACGTCATGATAGTTTGGACTACTTAAAACAATCCATACGATTGGCAGTGAAGAATATTCCCATGGAAAGAGTGCGTGCTTCTATTGATAACTGGCCTCAACGTTTAAAGGACTGTATTGAGCCAATGGAGACCACTCCGAATAAGCTTTTTATGTTTTAAATTGTTTTATATTTATGTATTAAACTTACATACTGTAAAAGTAATAAATGTTATTTGCAATAGAAAAAATATTTTTTTTATTTGTTACAGTATTTATGGCTTGATTTGGTATACTCCTTTGAGATTTTCTCTTGAAAAATGAACCGAATTTTATTTTTTATACATATTTCAACTAGCGATCCGCTGGGCCCAGAAGACTCCTTCTCGTTTGGAATATCGTTAAGAATTTTATTATAAAAGCGTCAAAACCCATCTAAACAAACTACTTATTTTCTGAAATCTGGAGGCAGGAACAACAAATTTGTTTCCAACACGTGTGAATATATAAAATAATACTTCTTAAATAAGTTTTTGTTTTAATGAGGGTGAATTACATTTTCAAAAACATATTGAAAGGCAACTGTCATTATTTTGATTTCCTTATATTATTGCCTGAGCGAATACCTCGGACTTATATTATACATATACATAGGTTGATCGAATCACCCTCTTCTGCAGAATAATGATATGACTGAATGTCATCAGCATTCCCTTACAACAGAATGCCATGATACATGATGCTATGGCATGCATGCATCCTCCAAAACTGAGAGTTTTCGACAAACCATCTATATCCACTGGAACTAAGCGTCTACGGTTAAACCTAAAAAGCCAAGACAAGCACAATGTCTATATCTGAATGTCGCCGACATTTATAAGCTTTGACTTTTTCTCGGTCATAGTCATATTTATGGTTATTGGTAGTCCTGTAAACATTGAAAGCAGATTAAAAGAAATAATATTTCATGAAAGAAATATAATTAAACTGATTTCTCTTTTTGTTTACTTTATATAAATCTCCAACAGAAAATTACATATAATATGCGCAATATAAAAAAATACAACTTGAAAGTCGTGTGATATTTCATTGATAAATATTTTCTATGAAATTAATTATGGTAGTAATTTGCCTAAGCCCTAGTAGTATCTGATTTTGATTGCACGGTTGGCGCAGTAGTTGGGCAATTGGCTGCCGCGCAACATGTGGCGGGTTCGGTTCCCGCACGGAACAACTCTTTGTGTGACCCACAAATTTTTGATCCGGGTCTGGATGTGATGTGTATGTGAAATTGTATGGTTGTAAACGCATCCACGACACAAGAGAAAACCCTAGTGTGGGGCCATGTTAGAAAAAAAGAAAGATAAGAAAAAAATAATTATCGGATGTTACCCACCATCAATTTTATGATTGCTTCATTGTTTTATCAAAATAATATGTTAATCAGATTACGACACAACACCGGGGCTTCCTTTTTAGGGTTCCGTAGTAAACTAGGAACCTTTATGGTTTTGATATGTCTGTCTGTCCGTCCGTCCGCGGATAATCAGATCAGATAATCAGAGACTGTTAGCAATAGAAAACTGAATTTTGGCACCAATATGTATATCAATAACGCCGCCAAAGTTGTAAAATAAAAAGTGGAAAGAAGTATTTTATTTGGGTACCCCCCTACACGTAAAGTAGGGAGTAATATTTTTTTCCATTTTAACCCTGTCGTGTGATATATTGTTGGATTTACTCGTTCGGGTTTACTAAGATAATTTTTTAATAATGTTAATATTTTCGGAAATAACCACTCTAAAAGTTACAAAAGGCGTCTCTGTGGAGCCATGTTATCCAATCTGGTTGAGCTGGCCTATTTTCGCCGAAGCATACCTCTCCCACACTTTGTCAAAATAGACATTTAGAATTTTCTAGAACCTTCTTACTCATGGACACTATTTCTTTCATTTTCGAGTGATGTTAGAGCGACTTTCAGCTGCATTCAGAGACATTCAATTTAGTGCTACTACGTTACCTGATAATTTTTATCGCACTAAAATACTCTATTCTTTTGACATAAAACGTAATTAACGTAAATTACGTTTTTATCCGGACTGATTTTTTTTTCTTGGTGTCGGCTTGGAAAATCCTTGGAGACCCATCGCCCTGGGGGAAGAGCGAAGGGTACTGTCAGACTGTTACTGACTAAAAACCAACCCGGTGTTCCTTCACTTACCTATGTGTCGGAGGGGCGGGTATCGCCGAAGCATTCGTCGCAACCCCCCGACGGGTTTTGGCCCGTCAGATGGTTTGGAGGGCCCCGTCACCCACTGCGTCGGCTCCCGACCTATGCGACACAGGTACAGGTACAGGGACCGAAACACCCGGGTCCGGTAAGCACCTGCGTCAGCCGGAAGCTGAGGGCGCCGTGGCTCCTATTGAGCCACTCCTCCAGAACAGGCCTTACCGCCTCATCATTATCTTACATTGAATTAATTATCTTACGTTGACTTTGATTATGGAAGTATAGGTATCATATAAAACAAAAGGTAATTAACAGATATCGATATCATGATTATATCGCGTAAAGAACTATACCTATCAATTTATTAATAAAAAAAATATTGAGTCATTTTCAGGATCTCGTTTTCCTCGACTTTTATTTACACGGGGTATTTCCCTAAGGCAATGCCTGCCTAGGTTTTAAATAAAAACAGTTTCAAGTTTTTTAAATAGAACCTAAAATGAAATCATGTCTTACTGATCATGATTCATGTTTTATTTTGTAATGTATGCTTATTCTTAATTTCCAAATCAATCCAATTTAATTATATATAAGGTAACATAAATATTAATGGAATTGATTAATTTGAAAATTATTGGGTCGAGTATTGACCCTTGGGGTACACTAGTGAACATGACTGTTTCATTTTCATTCAACATTAGTGTATACAGTTTTTGATATTTTTCTCGTGTTATTATTACTATTTATAAATCTTTAGGTTCAAATTGTACTACATGCGTATATGAAGAAATGCGATACTTAAACAAAGATAACACTTTTCACAATTTTTATTCATCTGTATGTATTTGATCCGGCTAATCTTTGGAACTAGCTACCAACCAAATTACGGTTAAATTCGGTCCAGCTAGGACCGATGTAGGTAGCTGGTGTTAATAATATGCTTCATACTCCTATATTGTAGAAAAATATATAGTATTCTGACGCGACACCAATTGTGAAGTTTTATGCGGACGAGTTACAGGTATAAGCTAGTCAAAGTCAAAGTCAAAATTACTTATTCCAACTAAATCATAAATATGCTTTTGAAAATAAAGGTACTTTTGAAACGTCTATATAGAATAGCAGTCTGTCAGTCTGTTCGTCAGTGAAGCTAGGTACTCGTTCTAAATTGAAGATTCGATTTGAGAAGAACGAGCAAGGTTAACTAACTGGATTATTATAAGAAATTTAACAAGATTAACTAATTAAAACATTATAACTTTTTGCAAGGATATTGTTAATAAGATTAATTATGAAAACCGCTGGATCGTTCTTTAAATAATTCTGAAGCTCATAAGGTTGTTCAGACAGGTCAATATCATCTTTGTGATGTTGTAAGTTCTTTTTATAAATAAGTATGCATTCTCGTCAGTTAATAAAAAAAAACTATTTGTTTTTTTTTACCCAAAAGTTACCTATGAAATTAATTGTAGTGATTTTTATACCTCACTAAAGATAATCTTTCAATCTTATCACAAATTCCACTATAAATACAATGTGTCTAGCTGAAGTCAACATTATACTCACAACGCCTTCTGAGGAAGCAGCAGTGGGAATTTTCTTGAAAAAAAAAACCAAAATGGTAAGTTAGCTTAACTTTTAAAAAAACTGTAATTTTTCTTCGACTCCCTTTAACACAGCTGAGATTTTTAATAAAAATGAACGCTTATGAAATTTTTATTAACTACTTTTGTCTTATTTCAGATGAAGAGCCTGATTCTTGTTGCGGTGCTCGCCGCCCTCGCTGTCTGCAACGACGCAGCCGCTCTTCAAGAGCCTGCCTTCAGAGCTAACCTGTACCAAGGAGCCATCAGGCCCGGAGACCGACTACTCCACAGGTATTTGTCAATTTTCATCATCGTCAATTTCATAGTTCTCCGATCCAGGTGTAAATTAAGCAATTTTGTCTTCTTTTATACAAGTTGCTTCTTACATCAAATGCTAACGCAATTTTTTTCTTTCTAGCAACTACTACGTGAAGAACGCTATTCCTAACGCTTCTCAGTGGCAGGACATCAATTACAACGGCAGCTCACGCACAAGGATCTCCTACATCCAAGTCACCGAGGTCGGCTACTCCCAGCGGGGTATTCCATCCCTCATGGCTGGTGGTGTCAACTACAACTACGCTAGAATCAGACTGACCACCCAAAGAGGAATGGGTTACTACTACCGTGTTGAGATCTGGGGTCGTTAAGATAACCACCGAGGAACCGCAAAGACAACCAAATTGACAAACCATCATAAAATAATAATTAAAGCGGGTATTATACCTATGTATACGTAAGAAAATAATGTGAATCTTAAAAAGTTCTCCTTGAAATAAAATTCTGTATTGCAAACTTTACTTTTGTATTTTTCTTTCTTGTGACTTGTATGGATCTAAACTAATATAAATATTATTATAAAGAGGTAAAATTAGTACGTTTCTATGTAGTTACGCATATTCCTACATTCTTTGGAACTGCTGGACGGATTTCCAAAAATTCTTTCACTGACATATATAATGTTCTCTAGTGTTATAGGCTATAAAGACCACCATACGGCCAATAAAACCACCACATGGCAGTAGCTAGTATGTTATCAAAGAACATGCATATAGGGTGCAAAACCCGTGAATCCAGATGTAAATATGAAAATAATTGTACAAGCCAATGTCACTGTTATTTTTGTTGAATAAAGTGGAAATTTACTAGATTTAATAAAACTTTTGTAATACAACAGACTGTCTTTTATTGATGTCCATAGAGTAGTAACGCCATCTTAACCAGAGAGAAGGATTGAAATTTAACACGGAGTATACATATAAAACATAGACCATTAATATCTTAACAGTCACGGTTATACTGTACAATAAACTTACTTTAGATTTAACTAAACAACAGAGCAAGAAGACAGCAAAATTTTTTGAGAACCTGTTAACCTGTAATCTCCAATCCACCGCACAAGCGAGGATGTGAAAGCAAATCCTATTTTTAAAGTTCTTAGCCCAGCACACACGCACGCTTGAAATAGCTTATAGACCACCACAGACCGAGCCCTGTAGGGCAGATGTTAAGCCGGCGTAGCGGGGTAAGAGCAACGAGGCGCCGCGGGCTCGGACTAGAGCAGGAAAAGGAACTTGGGGATTTTTAGTCAATAAGAGTCTGACACTTTCTCTCACCTCAACTTAGTCGGGAGAAGTCATTTGATGATTTTCCCCATATAAAACCTCCAAAAATTCAGCAGTTACCTAATTATTTATTGAACTGTCATCAATTGCTGAACCAATATGCCATCTGAGAGATACAATAAGAAGCTATCATGCAATTGATGGTCTCGTTGATCGCTAGCGTGACTGACGCGAGCAAGGTTTCGGTTCTTTTTGGAGCTTACTGTTAATAATACTGTCAGGAATAGTGTCTAAGAGTTTATTTATATACATACTAACTTTTGCTGGCAACTTCGTTCGCGTGGAATAGGTAGTGACTTCTTGCAGATTTTTGGTATAAAAACTATCGTATATCCTTTCTTGAGTTCCAAACTATGTCTGTACCAAATTACACAGAAATCGGGTCAGTAGTTTAACCGTGAAGAAAAGACAGAAAGACAGACAGAGTTACTTTCGCATTGATAACATTACTTTGGATTTATGTGATCGGCCAGCCAACGAGCAGATGGATTACCTGATAATTACCAATCGGCGCTACCACAAACATCCGCGACACCAGAGATGTTAAAAGAGCTTTACTAACTTCTATGGATTAGGCTTTTGGGGATTTAAGGATTGGAGATTGGAACATCACTTACACGGCAATGAGAGTTTTGGAGATTTGGGAGAGATGCCGATACCAAAGGCAAAATTGCTTCATGACACTTTCTGTGCGGTTGTGGTATCATTCCAGTCGAGCCGACCCATTCGTGCGGAAGCATGGCTATCCTATACCTAAAAAGGATAAACCGAGTGAAATAGTTTCGACCCTTTTGAGTATTGAGAATATGCATGTGTACTTCTGTATAATAGATTTAAATGAATGCTTTCATGGAATCTTCTTGAATTTTGCTATCACAGATGGCAAGGTATAATGTTTTTAAGAAACGCTTTACAAAGATTTGATATACATTTTCTTTTTTACTTTTCCGGTCTCGTAGCTACTTTTTCTACAGCACAAAGAAAAATGAAATAGGTAGTTGCTGCAAACATTAAATTTATCACTATCTATTATGTCATAACAATTTCCAACTAACTATGATATGCCTAGAAATAAATAGGTGAGTACGTGAGTTCGATATAAAATAAAAAATGAATAACAGATATCGATATTATGATATATTTTAGCCTTTTTGTTAAAACAATATCAAATAATTACAAAAGATTAACTGATACATAAAAGCCTTTCTATTTTCCTCAATTTTCATCTACAAGTGGTTTCTCTCTAAGATAAAGCCTTTCTTATGGTTTTAAACAATAAAACTTATGAAGAATATAAAGGTTTGCAAAGAAACTGTCAATAAGGTTAATTTTTAAAACCGTTGGACCTACATAGTCAGTACACGGTCCAGGTACCCTTGGGGTACTCCAGTTGAATATTATTATTCTCCTTCTTCTTCGTTCTTTAATTATTTCTCTTATGACACATTTGTTTAGGTAGTAACCGATTATTTTCGCGATGTCGTAAGACGTATAAATCTACAGCCCATCAGTTAATTAAAAAAATATCTGCTTGTTGATAATCCTCTGATAAGACGTTCTATGAAATTAATTGTTGTGCTGTGTTTTTTTTTGTGAGTCACTAAAGATATAATTTTTTCAATCTTATCATAAATTCAACTATAAATACAATATGTCTTGCTGAAGTCGACAGACTGAAGATTATACTCACAACGCCTTCTGAGGAAGCAGCAGTGGAAATTTTCTTAAAAAAAAACCAAAATGGTAAGTTAGCTTCTCAACTTTTAAATAAAATTCTTGTTTTTTTTCTACGTCTTTAACCCGGCAACGATTTTTAATACAAATAAAGCACGCCTGTGAATTTGTCATTAATTTCTAGTTATGTCTTATTTCAGATGAAGAGTCTGATTCTGGTTGCGGTGCTCGCCGCCCTCGCTGTCTGCAATGACGCAGCCGCTCTTCAGGAGCCTGCCTTCAGGGCAAACCTGTACCAAGGTTCTATCAGGCCCGGAGACCGACTACTCCACAGGTAGTACACCACACTAATTTGTATGTCGTAGCGCCTATTTTCTGTTTCATCCGTTTTAATCTTTAATTCAGGTTTATCTTACTTTTACTGTCACACTTTTATTGTCTTTTTATATGCTGCATCGTGACTGGTGCTGAATAAATGTCTTTTCTTTCTCTCTTTCTAATGTCTTCAAATTTAATTAAAATTTTAACATTTTTATAGTTCTCCAATCCAGGTGTAAATTAAACAATTTTGCCTTCTTTTATACAAGTTGCTTCTTACATCAAATGCTAACGCAATTTTTTTCTTTCTAGCAACTACTACGTGAAGAACGCTATTCCTAACGCTTCTCAGTGGCAGGAGATCAATTACAACGGCAGCTCACGCACAAGGATCTCCTACATCCAAGTCACCGAGGTCGGCTACTCCCAGCGGGGTATTCCATCCCTCATGGCTGGTGGTGTCAACTACAACTACGCTAGAATCAGGCTGACCACTCAAAGAGGAATGGGTTACTACTACCGTGTTGAGATCTGGGGTCGTTAAGATAACCACCAAGGAACCGCAAAGACCACCAAAATGACAAACTATCATAAAATAATAATAGAAGCGGGTATTCTTTAGTACGTAAGAAAATAAAGTGAATCTTAAAAGTTCTCATTTTAATAAAATTATGTATTTTTGTACTTTTGCATTTTCTTTCTTATGCCTGTTTAACATAATATGGAATAAATATGAATTTAGAAAACAGATTCATAAAGCTATTCGAAAGCAGAGTACTGACGTATAGTTTATAGAATACATTTTAAGAACCCCATATATGCAAGTGTCATAAAACCAAAGAGGGAGCTATGGAAGACTATTTACAGAAGACAGTAGGCAGAAAAACTTTCTGACCATCCTCAACCTCCTAACTCACAACCTCCAACCCGCCAGCAAAAACAGTTTTTTAAGTTTTTAGCCCAGCAGTGAACAAATTCTTTGTTGAACTGTCAGCACTGAATAAAGCAATTTGCCAACTAAGAGATCCAGTAAAAAGCTCTGTGTAAAATTGATTGCCTCGATGGTCGACCAATTGATAACCTCAGCGTAACTACTACGTGCAAGGTTTCATATAGGTTCGGGGCCTATGTCTGGTAAAGTCTGGAAGTATATTTTAAGTATGAATACCTATATAAAAATTTTGTGATTGGTCACTAAACGAGGAGACTAATATCCTGCTGGTACTCAATCGGCGCTGCCATGGAGCACGCCGTAACACCAAATATGTTACAACTGTCTTGCCAGATGTTTTGGATCAATCGTATGGGCATTTTAAGAGTTAAACCAAGTCTCCGGTAATATCACTTACACGGTGGTTGTTTTCGATGATTGAAGGATCAGGGAGGGATAGTGAAACACAACGCGGTGATTGTTTCATACCGGTTTATTTCGGTCAAGCCGACCAATTCTATTTGTGCCGAAATTTGACTCTCTCACAACTAAAAATAATAAACTGGGTGCATTATTTTCGCTCCTATTTAGTATTGAGGATGTGTATGTGGACTTCTATATCATATTTTAAGAGGATAATTAAAGGGATTACGTTTATGTTATATTGAGACTCAAGGAAATCATTTGGTGTGGGCATTACAATAATAGTGACGGGTGTTTCCCATCGTCAATTTTACAATTGCTTAATCGTGTTATCGATATCGTATGTTACTCTGATTGCGATACAGTACCGAGGCTTCCTATTTAAGAAGTTAATTCTGCATATTACGTATTTATGCACAAATACTTTCCGGTTTTTTGGTCAAATGATCACGCATTGTCGAAGAGACAAATTTTCTGTTTTTGATTTAAAGTTTTGGTCTTCCACTTCTGGATATTGTTCCCATTTTTTATGTAATTTATGAATATCTTCATTTTGCCCGTTGCTGAAAGACAATATAATACTCTAAACTTTGTAACGTTCTTAGAGTTACTGAAGAGGTTTTAGTTATACAGTGTCAAGGTCCAGAGCCTGCGGTCGATGAGACATGATAAATCAAGCCATTCAAAGATCTCTTTCACTAATCACACACATTTACAGATAGAAAACTATGTTAGTATTTTATTGAGTTACAATCCTGTTGTTGGAGATACATCTTCACACAGTATTACACAATATAGGCGACTCGTACCACTCTGCAATGGTTTTCAGGATGGAGCTGGAACTGGCCTGCACTCTGCAGAGCAGTGAGGCAGACTTCTGTCTAATGATAGCATGGAAGCCAACGACGTGTGCAAACATGCTAGAAGCACTGCAGAAACAGGGCAGTCCCATCAACATCCTGAACCCCTTATTTTATTAGACCAGCAGGGCGCTGATAGTCAGTATAGTATAGTTAGTCCACAGGCTTTAAAAACCGTTACCTTAACTTGTTTATTGCAACGTGCAAACTTGCGTGTTAACATGTTACATCAAACTGCAAGCGCTCTACGTTTCTGCTTAATATCAACATGATTCTTAAGGTCATCATTCACGTAATGTCCTAGATATTTGAATTGGTAAACACGGTTGAGTTCATTACCGTAAAACCTTTTCACAGGTACAGAATGTGGGCATTTATCACTCACCACCCTAAACCATAAATTTGATTTTAAAACATTGTATAGCAGGCCATTTGCCTGAGAATAGGACTCACAACACGCAAGTAGCTTCCTGAATGACCTGACAGTTGGCCTCATCAGTGCTATCTCGTCCGCATAATCAATGTTGTTAGTACAGCAGTCATCGATGTGACAGCCGATTTTCTTACTGCTGAGCTCAACAATTAGTCGGTAATATAGACGTTAAAGTCTTTTGATGAGGTTCTTCCTCCCTATCTTACACCACATTCTAAGCCGTACGGCACAGATAGCTTGTAGGCCAAGTACCGAAGAATATGTTTCGCGAACGGTTGCTTAGTAACAATATTTTCCATTAAATGATTCTAAATACAGTGGGAGAAATAAAAAATGATTAACAGATATCAATCTCTACTAATATTATTAAGGGTTTGAAGAGAGAAAAGAGATTTAGAAAAAAAGGTAGAAATTGTAAGTTCTTATGTAGGGGTAATCTATGAAACCTAGGAATTATATACAATTACTAGGAAATGTATACAATTCCGAAGCTATATAGGAAATGTGTAAAATATTGTTCCAAACATTATTTAATACACATATATCCTGGGAAAATTGTATAAAATTCCTATATCGTATTAGGAAATGTATAAAACCATGCTTTCTATGAATAAAATTAATAAAACACGTTGTTAAAGTTAGAAACAGATTTATTATTAAGACTCCGGTTGAAACAATTAGGTAAGAATCACATCGTAAAATATAATATCTTCTTCCGGCTTACTAACTAAGCTACAACAACAAAACTATTTACTAAATTTTAAGGCCCATCTAGCACAAAAACTACTTATATTTTCTTATAAAGCTCTATCATTTGGTAACTAATCAGTCTGTCAATTAAACAGTAATACGCCGTATAAACGCATACGAATGGACATCTTTAAAGTAATACATTTCCGTTAGCTATTAAGGAAATGTATAGATTTACTAGGAAATGTGTGTTATAAAATTTATTTCACACATTTCCGAGCAAATTTAGGAATTATATAAATTTCCTAGGAATTGTATACAATGACGGATTACATACATTTCCGTCATAGCTACAATGTTACTGAGTGCTTTAGGCTAAGCAGCTGTTGAAACCTCGTGAGAGTAAGTTGTTTATTAATAAACAGATTTAATGAGTCATTTAGAGCTTCCCGTTTTTCTAAATTTTAGTTTTAATACGATAATTTTAACATCTAGTTTTTCACTTATAATTTGACGTGTAAAAGCGCCGTTTTATGGCCTATTTGCAAAAATAAATTCATTGTTTCATTGATATTCCTCTAAGGCAAAGCCTTTTCTAATGGTTTTAAACAACAAAAATAACTTATTACAAATATTAGGCTTACTTTGGACAATAGCTGGGCCAAGTATGACCCTTGAGGAGTCCTCCAGTAGTACGTAATGAATGTCTCTTGTGGCTCTTTTGTTTAGATAGTACCCGACGATATTTGCGTTGTCGTAAGACTGATAAATCAACAGCCCATCAGTTAATTAAAAAAATATCTGCTTGTTGATAATCCTCTGATAAGACGTTCTATGAAATTAATTGTCGTGCTGTTTTTTTGTGAGTCACTAAAGATATTATTTTTTCAATCTTATCACAAATTTACCTATAAAAACAATAGGTATTGCTGAAGTCGACATAATACTCACAACGCTTTCTGAAGAAGCAGCAGTGGAAATTTTCTTGAATAAACCAAAATGGTAAGTTACCTTATCAACTTTTGAATAAAATTATTGTTTTTCTTCTACTCCTTTATTACAGCAAAGATGTTTAACGAAATGAACGCTTATGAAATTTTCATTAACTTCTATTTATGTCTAATTTCAGATAAAGAGCCTGATTCTTGTTGCGGTGCTCGCCGTGCTCACTGTTTGCAATGATGCAGCCACTGTTCACGAACCTGCCTTCAGGGCTAACCTTTACCAGGGATCCATCAGGCCCGGAGACCGACTACTCCACAGGTATGTATTAATTCCTTAAAATTTTATTAAAATTTCAAAATCTTCATAGATCACCGATCCAGGTGTAAATTAAATCTTGTGTAATTATACCAGGTGTAAATTAATTACTTGGCTTCTTACATCACGTGTTAACTCAAAATGTTCTTCTTTCTAGCAACTACTACGTGAAAAACGCCATTCCTAACGCTGTGCAGTACCAGGACATCAACTACCGCGGCAACTCAACCACTAGGATCTCCTACATCCAAGCCACCGAGGTCGGCTACTCCCAGCGTGGTATTCCATCACTCAGGTCTGGTGGTGTCAACTTCAACCACGCTACCATCAGGCTGACCTCTCAAAGAGGAATGGGTTACTACTACCGTGTTGAGATCTGGGGTCGTTAAGACAAAAACTGACAAAAAATGACAAACCATCATAAAATGACAATTCAAGCGGGTATTGTGTACGTGAGAAAATAAAGTGAATCTTGAAAATTTTTCTTTGAAATAAATTTATGTATTGCAAAATTTATTTTTGTATTTTTATTTTTTGTAGCTTGTGTGAATCTTCTGATATTATAAAGACATTTTCTTTAAGGAATGGATTAAGTGACCATTAAATGACCTTGATACAGTGGTGTGAGTAAACATAATATAAAATAAAAAGTGATTATCAGATATCGATATAAAGATATTTTTAAGTGCTATTTTCAAAACAATATCGGTTTATTTTTAAAAAGATTTAGTGATGATTCACTTTTCGCGTTAATAACCGCGTAATAACACAATTAAATTATATGAAACGCGAAAGTTTTAAAGACATTTAGAGCTTCCCGTTTTCCTCAAGTCTAGTACATAACAATAGCATAAAGTAAATATTTTCAATAAATTTACGGTAGTTGCTATCTTAAAATGTTCTTAATAAGTTTTATCTCTTAGATAAGATTATTTTTCAAAACTTTGGACCGAGTATTGACCCTTGGGATACTCCAGTAGTACATAACGGTTTCATTAACCTTTCAATCGTAGTTATCTGAGAGCCAGTTTTTTGACACACAGTTTGTCTCTTCTTCTTATAACATTTTATCTCGGGACCTCAATCGTATTTCTGTAAGAGTATTCTTAGATCAGACGCTAACCCAAAAGTGTTTTATTAGCAGCTACTATTCCAAAAACCAGCGTGGTATCCCATCCCTCAGGGCTTGTGATCTCAACTACAACGACGTTACCACCAGACTGATCTTTCAAAGAGGATACGCTTAGTACTACTGTTTTGTGATTTGGCGTCGTTCAGACAACCGTAAAAGAACTATTTAAAACCACAAAGACTTAAAGACTTAAAATAAGGATTAAAGCTGTTACGCTTTTTATTGTACCTTTACGAAAGAAAAAAAAAAGGAATCTTAAAACGTTGAGAGGAGAAGAGAGCGGATGGATATTTTCCGTATATTTGTTGCGACTGAAGAAAAGATTATATTATATACACATAATTATAATACTTCTGAGTCGGGCTATGCTCAGGGTCTCTTTGCGCGACAAAATCTGAAATGTAGAAATTCGCCAAAGAACCAAAGTCACCGATGTAGCTCGTAAAATCTACAGGCTAAAGTGGCAATGGGCAAGCCACGTCGCTCGAAGGACGGACGGCCGATGGGCCCGAAAAGTGCTAGAGTGGCGACCAAGGACCGGAAAACGTAGTGTGGGCAGGCCTCCCCCTAGGTGGACTAACGACCCTGTCGCGGGGCGTCAATGGATACAGGTGGCAACTTGTCGATCGACGTGGAGGGCTAAGGGGGAGACTTTTGTCCAGTGGCAGTGGACGTTTTCCGGCTGATGATGATGATGATATACTACAGTAGTAGCAGTGCATTCTGATATACCTAAATCTTTCAAGCTACGATCTCCAATCGCTCTGCCAAACGTAAATATCCGTCTGTCTCTCTACAGTAAAACAAATAACGTCCCATTCGAGTGACGTAATAAAAAGCTGTGCATACAACGTCGGTATTTTTCGTTACAATAAAGTTATATTGCAAACTGCTACCATATTGGCTCCATGCCAGCTACAAATCATACAAGCGCACCTCTTACAGACTATTATGTAACATATTATGAACGTTGTCGGTAATGTCGCCAGCTGGTAGCTGGAATTTTCAATATGAGCTTGGAAACTTACGTAAAAATGTTTATTAATATAAGCGCACATGCTTATAACTAGTCTCTGTAACTAACTAAACTGGAAAATGTAGTAAGACACTCTATGTTTTTTTTTAGTTGTGATAACTATTAAGTGAAGAATCACCCTGGCGCAATTAGGAGCCCCCCGTTCCTTCTCTTGTTTTAGGCGCTTACCCCGTAACCCCGACTGAAAATCAGCCCTGTAGGGCCCCGTCTGTACCTCTCGCGCCCGGTCTAAATCGAGGCCATGGTGCAGCGTGAGAGGAACTGGGAAGCTATCTCCTCCTTCTGCGAAGCAGTTATGCTCGCAAAGGAGGAGGCGGAACGCGTGAGGGAACTATCCTCCTCGCGCCCCAGCCAGCGACATTCCGGACGTCGGGGATCGAGAGATGATCTCCGGCCACCGTAAGCGCGGGTCTGCGGACGGCGAGTAAGGGTAGCTCGCCGCCCGACCAGAACCGGACCCGAGCGTACGGCGCGTAGCGTTCCGCGCGCGCCTCATAAGCCAATCGACCACCACAGTCGGGGCCCTAAAGGGCTGATGTTTAGTCGGGGCTGCAGGGTAAGCGCAATGAGGCACCGCGACCTTGGCCCAGAGCAGGAGAAGGAACGGGGGGGTTTTTAGTCAGTAAGAGTCTGACACTCTCTCTCGCCTTACCCTGGGCGGGAGAAGTCATTGGATGATTTTCCCCTGACAAAAAAAGGGCCCCGTCTGTGGCTCTTTGAGGCGCGCGCGGTTTGCTAGCCTTCCTGCGGATATCGCCAGTTCACCTAGCTGGAGGGCGCCCAACACTGCGTTTGCCTAGACGTGGTCTAGGCAGGCAGATCGAAACCCATTAACCAATAATAACTCAAAACCAAACGTATATTCGTTTTTCATTGGTTTCACAAAATGCAGGAGCTGTGGCTACAAGCAAATGATATGCCATAGCGTGGTTCAAAGCAGGAGAAGGAGCGGGTGTTTTTAAGTAAGTAAGAGTCTGAAACTCTCTTTCGCCATATTCAGAGTGGGAGAAGTCAGTGGATCTTCAGGGATCACGTATTTTTTGCATGCAAAGACATTCATTATATGCTACGGAAACTGGTGTTTCCCGCCGTCGATATCAAAATTGTTTTATCGATTTACCAATATCACCCGGTTTCCTGTAGCGAAAATATGTAGGTACATCGCGCTATCTTCTTCAAAAACAAATTTAGCGCGCGTGATTGCGCAATATCCAAAGTTATCGATTAAACTAACGTTCATTAACTAATTTAAAGATCTAAACTATATCAGATTTTAATTATTATTGACATGACATACAGGTAGAATAAAAGCTATATTGAGCATTAGCAAATTATACAAAGTGCTTTTCAGCTTCTTTTAAAAATAGGTTTATATATCACATACATGACAATTCCTCGCTTCAGCATAGGTTCTGATACAGGGAGTATACGTAAATAATGCTTCGATCAGAAATTATTTCTAGAACTAGCAGTCTTTTCTAGCCTTATGAAATTCCTGCAATGTGGTGTCTGCCAATAGTCGATGTGCATCGAACGGCACTACTCTTCACCTCACGACGACGACCAAGGGTTGCTAATAGAACTGACTGTACGGCGCATCGCATAGCGACTCTTACTGAGTTTAAACCAACCCCTACTATCTTCTGCTTCGGAAAAAAAATGCCATTCGAATCAGGAGCAGTCTGACATTCCCTCTTGGCCGCGTAAGAAAAAACTGGAAGATTTGCCCCTTCATAAAAAAAGGAGGTCTCTATTATGTTAGAAGTCACTAGCTACAGAATTGTTTTTGTATAGGTACAATCTGCGCTTCCATCATCATCATCATCATCATCATCAGTCGGAAGACGTCCACTGCTGGACAAAGGGACGTAGAGAGCTAGGGGGCTTAGCTCTCCACGTCGAACGACAAGTTGCCACTTGCATCCTTTGGCTCCCCGCGACTCTGACGATGTCGTCGGTCCACCTAGTGGGAGGCCTACCCACATTACGTTTTCCGGTCCTTGGTCGCCACTCTAGCACTTTTCGGGCCCATCGACCGTCCGTTTTTCGAGCGACGTGGCCTGCTCATTGCCATTTTAGCCTGCAGATTTTACGAGCTATGTCGGTGACTTGGGTTCTTTGGCGAATTTCCACATTTCGAGCATAACCCGCTGACGCTGAGCACGTTCAGTTCAATACTTTCCGTTAAATAGTTAAGGAGCTGTTTATGGTCAGACACAGATGTAACCAAATTTTGGTCTATTTCAAATCACTCTACTTTTGAGCACATGTTTAAATGAAGTATTCTTTAGCTTAACAAGTGATGTCAGAGCATGATATATAAAAATAAATGTAATTTCCAGATATTATATAATGCGATAGAACGATAATCTATTTGGTACTTTAATAATAACAGATATCAATTTATTTATAAAGTGATCTGAATGAGTCATTTAGAGTTTCGTATTGTTTTCCTCAAATTTAATTAGCAATAATATATTTATCGATAAGAATTTCTATGAATTTCAGTTTTGAGTTGTTTTTCATGAGTCAGCTGTGATAATAGAAATCTTATCATCTATCTCTCTACTGTATAAATACTATATCTTGCAGATGTCAACATTATATTCATATCGCCTTCTGAAGGAGTAGCAGTAATTTCTTACTTGGAAATTTCACAACACAATTAAAACGGTAAGTTTACTTGTTAGGTTTCGTTGTTTATCATTTTATTACATACCTACATACCTTTCTTCTATGTTTTATCATATAGATTATATTTCCTTTCTTTACTGCTTATGTTTTTATTTCGGCATTGTCTTATTTTCTATTATTAACGTATAGGAATATCTGTTTTCTTTATTACAATACGTTTTTTGCTCACACACAATCGCATCTCGGTAACTTCACCATAAAGATCATTCTCTATCGTATTAAAACTCCTTATGTTCAATTTCAGATGAAGAGTCTGATCCTTGTTGCGGTGCTCGCCGCCCTCGCTGTCTGCAATGACGCAGCCGCTCTTCAAGAGCCTGCCTTCAGAGCTAACCTTTACCAGGGAGCCATCAGACCCGGAGACAGACTGCTCCACAGGTATGCCCTAGCTTCAGTAACAAGCAAGTTAATGTTTTTAAATAAAGTTCAGGAATCACTGTTTTTTGAAAAATATGTTTTTTTAAAGATGTCAATTTGTACTGGTATTCGCACATTTCATAGTCAGAGTCCCTAGTATAAAAATAATATACACAATTTATAATTAATTAAAAAACAGAATCGATTATATCACAGTGAATATTCCTCTGATGTACAAAAACCCAAATTAAAGACGTAAATATAAGAATACTCATAAACAAATTTGTAAAGCCACTTGTATCCTTATAAAACATTCAATTGGAAAAAAATGCTTCCAAGAACTCTTCAGCGATAAGAACGCCAAGTGACATATTATCATTAGATAAGGTGACAGGTGGAAGCCCATATCATCATAACTATCACTCATTAAAGATTAATATTTATGCACTTAAGATTCTGATAGACTCAAGTGTATTGTAAACTAATGCAGTATCAATAATTAAATTGCATTTATTTGCAAATCGAACTTCACCGATTTGTAAAATTATGATTCGTTATGTTTGTTTGTGCTAAGCAAATGAATTTTTTCTTGATGAGCAGCTTTTGTGTGATGGTCAAAGTTTTCCTTCCAATTAGAAATAGGCCTTTTTACACAGAATTTTTACAAATGTAGTTAACAACTTATTTCTTAATTTTACCAGATTTTAATATCAAATTTTCTTTTTTCCAGCAACTACTACTACAAGAGCCCCATTGCTAACGCTGTACAGTACCAGGACATCACCTACCGCGGTAACTCTAGCACCAGGATCTCCTACATCCAAGTCACCGAGGTCGGCTACACCCAGTGGGGTATCCCATCCCTCAGGGCTGGTGGTGTTAACTTCAACCACGCTACCATCAGGCTGACTTCTCAAAGAGGCTACGGTTACTACTACCGTGTTGAGATCTGGGGTCGTTAAGAAATTTAAGAATTCCTCAATAAAAATAGCTTAACTCCACATAATAAGTATTAAAAATGTGGTTTAATTTATCGTTAATAAGTAAAATTTAAGAAATTCTCATTGTAATAAAATTATGTATTTCTAAATTCAATTTTGTATTTTCATTTCTTGTATCTTGATGTGGGATGTGAAATATAGTTTGAACATAATACCATGTGGTAGTTACTAGTACAGTATTGGTCGATTCGGAGCTGACTTCACTTCGCAAGTGCCTAGGTGGTGCTTACAGAATGCAAAATCAAGGTCATATTGAACCTTGTGAGGAGTGAGAGTGAATATTTTTTTTTTTTTTATTATAATAGGTTCACCAACAATTGTTTACACAATTTCAATTATAAAGTACATGCTTAGCTAAAATATTAAAGTGTAACAATCACTTAAAGGTGAACACCACTTGCTTAAATTAATATCAAACCAAAAGTGAAAGAGAAGCTAGATAGAACTTAAATTAACTTAACTTAACTTAACCAGAAATTACACATGATAACGAAAGAAAAACTAGCGGTCACACGCCAAACGACCGAGAATGGATTTTAGTTTAGCAAGAAAGTCAAAGTGTAGATCAACAACACCACTGCAGCCATTTACTGCCCTACACCTTCTTGCGTAATGTGAGCTGGATCCCAAAACAGTTCTTCTGAACGGTGGACAAAGTGGCGCAATGGCACTACGTGGAATTCTCGAGGGAGCTCGGAAGTAAAAAGTGCAAGCAGGGACTGTCTATTTTGTGTTTTATAATCTTATAGGCAAACATACGTTATTAAAGTAAAGTCCCTAAAAAAATCATCTAGCCCAAATGTCTTCTTTGCAACAGAGGCTTTTCATTTCACAGGGAGATTTTTAAAATCTTTTCTAAACCTCTAGACAGACGGACTGCATTTCAACTGCAAATTTGCAATCTGAATGCAGTCGACACGACTGCAATAGAACTGCAAACCAACCGAGCAGTCCGATTGCGGTTCAATTGCAGTCGGCGTGCATTCGTATGTTGGTTGCTTGGTTAGTTGTTTTGCAAATCTGTTGCAATCGTGTCAACTGCATTTAAATTGCATCCGAACTGCAAATTTGCAGTTGGATTGCAGTTGAAATGCAGTCCGTCTGTCTAGAGCCTTATTAGATAACTCGGAGAACTGGCCCAAAACGAGGTACTAAAAAGAAAGATTAAGTAACTTATTTAGAAAACTCCAAAGAAAGCAATCAAATGAATTGAGAAAACCGAACGAAGTTTATGTGCACTGGATATATATATTTTCGAGATTTTCATATCTAGCAACTCAGTTTTTGGCGAGGGGCCAATGTCACAACATGTCGCGTCCTTACGTAATTTGGGAAAAGTATAAATAAGTTAATGGTTTCTGTTCTTGAATGGGTAAAGCATAAGGAATTTCGTTCTTGTAGTGTCGTCGGAGTTAAACACATCGGTCATCACATGTTTCCTATCCAGACTAAGAGACATTAATTCATCATCAGCATCATATTAGCCGGAGGACTAAGGAAAGACAAAGGTGCTGTGGACGTCTTCCGGCTGATGATGAGGGAATGATGAATCAAATTAGATGCAGATCAAAAAAAAAATATTTTTGTAAATTCACCATTAAAGAGGATAAAAAAGGAGTGAGATTGGGTAAAGCTATGTAGTTTTTGGAATAAAAAAAATCATGCAAATTACAACCGGATTACTTAATAAGACAACATCACTAAGGAAACATTAGATAAACTTTTTCACACATTTAAAACAATATTAGCCATTTTAATGAGGGTTATAGTTAATTATTAGTTCACTAGGTGGCGCTGATTTACCGTGGAACATGTCGGTCTGATCAATTTAGCTTTCAATTGTATCTTGTATTGTTTAATGATTTCACACAAGCTATTTGTTTATTAAGCTACATGGTCCCAAATTAAGTGGTAGCCATACAGAGTATTTAGAGCTCTGACGAGCCTGACATTATCATCATATCAACTTTGTACAAGCTGTTCATTGCGGATTATTAAATAATCCTAGGCTTCCTCTATCCACCGGTTGGAAATAGTCTACATCCAGCGCCACCCTGCACCTTGATATCCTAAATATGGGCGTCCATTATCTTCCCTTATACTTCTTTTATATTATGTCTGTTTATTGTCAATATCTCTACTTAAATTACGGTAAGAAAATTTGTTCTTCCCTTCCACAATATTCAACAGCATCCATATTTCACGCTGTGAAAAACAATGTGAAAACGAGAGAGACTAATATAATAATCTTTACCTAGGAAATTGTCGTTTTGCATGAAAAAATTTAAACGATTTTTTTTATTTGAAATGCGATGAAAATGTAACACTAACTAATTAAGAAATGACTACTTTTGGAAAAAGAATCCCATGTTTTTAAAACAAAATTAATTAGCCTTAGCCTAACAAAAACTATTTTGATTTGAAATGGCCAGTACTGCAGAACGGCAATTTCATAGGTAAAAAACTATTATTAAGTCAAGATTAAGGATATGTAGCGACATCTATGACGTGTGTATTAAACTATGTTGGTTTGATAGATACCTAATGTATTAAAAATGATGATTTTATTAATATTGTTAAAATTGTATTAATCACTGTAGTCATATATAGATAGCGCTGTACACAACGATAATTTGAATATTGAGTCATTAATAATCAAAGTGTGAAGCTACCTAAACTGTACAAATTTTAAACCTTCTATGTAAAGGAACGTGTACTTTCTGTGTGTGTTTCTTTGAAGTTGATGATGATTAAATGATAAAAACTGGTACATTTTTTTTACGTCAAACTATTCGAATGAGTTAATACATGTGGGAATATGACCTGCAACACGTTACACAGCAACCAGTGGCTCGGCCACTACGCAGTCGATTATCAAAACATTAATTATTATTACATTCTTTGGAAAACCCTAATATACCCAAAAGGATTTAAATTTCTTGCTGTCGAGTTACTACGCAAAACAAGTGCAATGTTCCCCATCTGCCGCAGTAGGCAACACTCTTCAGGGATCCATAGATGATCTACGGTCATCGTAAGCGCACATTTACTCACCGTACACGCTACGGTCAGTGAAGGTAGTTCGCCACCTGACCAAAACCATAACCATACCATAGCATTCTATGCGCGCCTGAAAGAGGCAGTAGATTATTACAGATAAGGCCTTACAGGGCTGTTATTCCGCTATTGCGGGGCAAGCGCAATAAGTCACATCGGCCTCGGCCTAGAACAGAAGAAGGCACGGGGTGGTTACAGTACCTCCTGCCCCACCATGGGCCGGAGAAGGTATTTGATGATATTAACCACACAAAAAATGCTATGTCAGACTTTTCAGAACTACTTCGCAGTATGTATTTTCTTTTTTTGAAGGTTTGTAGGTCGTATCGGTTCGGAAATACCGCCACCGGAATGTTGTTTAGTCCCGCTTAAACTTACGCGAAAAAATGTGAACTTATTTAGGGCAAAGATAGGTTGGTTGTGTCATTATTCCGTCTATTCAACGTACAGAAATCCTTTACGAGGTTATATGTATATTGTTATAATAAAATTTCAATTAGTGTATTAAATCTTAATGAACGGAAATTAATAACTTATGTTAAACGCGAATTGTATAGATAGACAAACTACAAACTGTCAGATTATATTGAGGGCAAGAATGCCTGGCAGTATGTTGGTTCGGCTCCACTGGACATGATCAAATACGGTCAGTAGTCACATAAATTCTCAAAAAGAATGAACCCTTAAGTTATATATCCCGCTGGAACCGAAGTAAGAACCTACCAAAGATACCGTGCCAGGTAAGCTCTTTAGTCAGGCCAAAGTTGAGGACGCCATGGCGTCTCTCAGACCACTCCTTAAATCCGAACCATTACCTATAGACGGACGGATAGCGGAGACTAAGTATAAGAGTTTTACCCCTTTAGGAACGTTACCATAAAAATAGGCATATCTAATTTTATTTATATTCGATATTGTTATATGTGCTATAGGCTAGAACACATTGCTCAACAACGTAGACATTGTGCGCAATCACCGAGTACAGTCACAAAATGTAACACAAAATTATAATTAAAAGATAGAGCGGTTTGTCAATATTATTTATTTACACTTTTCAGTGATATACCAGATAACATTATTGATGCAGAGGTTATTAGGTTGCGGAGGTGAGGCACTAGGTTTGTAACCAGCATCAGTTCTATGATCATGCACTCCTGTATATTTCAAGAGTTGTATGCAAACCTTCACCGAGTCGTTCAGGTTTCAAAGTTATTTCTACGTAATTCTTCCCCAGTGAAGAATGGATTATCTCAGGAAGGTGACTTAAATGAGTAGTTACAACAAACATGTTTATTTTGATGTCACTCTCAGCTCGATACACCTTGGTGATGCTCTGCTCTTGACCTTCAACCGCTGGCAAGAAATCATTCGATCTGAAAATAATATTCCAAAATGTATTTATACAATAATATTTTCTAAACAAAAAGTGAAATAATATTACAATCTTATTCAATTTCTCCGTACTGAGGTTGCTGTTCCTTGAGATTGAATTTCCTAACTTTCCGTACTTTATGAACTGTTCCTTGCTTGCTTGCTTTGTTATAAATAAATAAAAAGTAAGAGCGAAAAGACTTGGTACACTTTTTTAATTAGTTAGAAGCTTAGTGGATACTCACTTGGACACTAGTTCGTAACTGCCATATCTGGCATTAAAGTCAGCTCTGAACAGAACTACTCCGTTGGGTGACTTCTCGTCGAATACTATGACTTGAGACATCTCCTCCTCGCTCTGGAGGACAGCGGCATCATAGCAGGCTGCGAGTGCTGACAGCACTACGATGATCATTAAGCTCCTCATCTATAACAATACGTCGATAGATCAAACTAGGTGATGAGAGAACACTTTTGAAGCAATTAGTTTTGCAAAGAAAATGAAGCATTATTTAGGTGACAAAATTTCATTTAGCAAAATACCGAAAATCACTCACCTTTATTTCTTAAATTCTCTTGAATAGTAAGAACGTTTAACTTACAGCAGAGTGTGTGTAATGTGCTTGTAAGTTGTGTCTCCGACTGTTATATAGCAAGTTTCTTGACAAGATATATGAGCAGTTGTATCCATATCTTCAGAAAATCTATGTGCTTTCTGATTTTTATTGATATCATCCAAATTTCAAGTTGTTAGTAGATAAAAATAATGAGCTGTAATAAGGTTGACTCACCGCAATCTAATTGTTTATTTAGGTAGGGGGGGGGGGCGTACTCCGGAAAGAATGGCCGGCTCGATCAAAATGATACCACGGTCTCATAGAAAACCACAGTGAAACAACTCTTGCGTTATATTATCGTGAGTGAGGTTACCGGAGGCCTGTCTTCCCCATTCTTCCTGTTATAAAGCTCAAAGGTGACTGACTGATATAGTGATCTATCAACCCGCATCCCAAACCACTAAACGGGTCGGGCTATCCCTAAGAAGGTTAAAGGGGGATGCAAGTTTCTATGAAACTCCGTCGACTTTAAAACTATAATGTTAACATTTAATATAAGGATTTTGACTAAAAATAATGGATGACGTGTTCAATGATTTTTGTGAAATTACCATTAAAGAGGATAAAAAAGGAGGAGTAAGATTGTGTAAAGCTTTGTAGTTTTTGAAATAAAAAAAAATTATGCAAATTACAACCGGATTACTTAATAAGACAACATCACTAAGGAAACATTAGATAAACTTTTTCACACATTTAAAACAACATTAGCCATTTTAATAAGGGTTATAGTTAATTATTAGTTCACTAGGTAGCGCTGATTTACCGTGGAACATGTCGGTCTGATCACTTTAGATTTCAATTGTATCTTGTATTATTTAATGATTTCACACTAGCTATTTGTTTATTAAGCTACATGGTCCCAAATTAAGTGAGACTGAGAGCCATACAGAGTATTAAGAGCTCTGACGAGCCTGACATTATCATCATTTCAACTATGTACAAGCTGTTCACTGCGGAGCATAAAAAAATCCTAGGCTTCCTCTATCCACCGGTTGGAAATGGTCTACATCCAGCGCCACCCTGCACCTTGATATCCTAAATATGGGCGTCCATTATCTTCCCTTATACTTCTTTTATATTATGTCTGTTTATTGTCAATATCTCTACTTAAATTACGGTAAGAAAATTTGTTCTTCCCTTCCACAATATTCAACAGCATCCATATTTCACGCTGTGAAAAACAATGTGAAAACGAGAGAGACTAATATAATAATCTTTACCTAGGAAATTGTCGTTTTGCATGAAAAAATTTAAACAATTTTTTTGATTTGAAATGCGATGAAAATGTAACACTAACTAATTAAGAAATGACTACTTTTGGAAAAAGAATCCCATGTTTTTAAAACAAAATTAATTAGCCTTAGCCTAACAAAAACTATTTTGATTTGAAATGGCCAGTACTGCAGAACGGCAATTTCATAGGTAAAGAACTATTATTAAGTCACGATTAAGGATATGTAGCGACCTCTATGACGTGTGTATGAAACTATGTTGGTTTGATAGATACCTAATGTATTAAAAATGATGATTTTATTAATATTGTTAAAATTGTATTAATCACTGTAGTCATATATAGATAGCGCTGTACACAACGATAATTTGAATATTGAGTCATTAATAATCAAAGTGTGAAGCTACCTAAACTGTACAAATTTTAAACCTTCTATGTAAAGGAACGTGTACTTTCTGTGTGTGTTTCTTTGAAGTTGATGATGATTAAATGATAAAAACTGGTACATTTTTTTTACGTCAAACTATTCGAATGAGTTAATACATGTGGGAATATGACCTGCAACACGTTACACAGCAACCAGTGGCTCGGCCACTACGCAGTCGATTATCAAAACATTAATTATTATTACATTCTTTGGAAAACCCTAATATACCCAAAAGGATTTAAATTTCTTGCTGTCGAGTTACTACGCAAAACAAGTGCAATGTTCCCCATCTGCCGCAGTAGGCAACACTCTTCAGGGATCCATAGATGATCTACGGTCATCGTAAGCGCACATTTACTCACCGTACACGCTACGGTCAGTGAAGGTAGTTCGCCACCTGACCAAAACCATAACCATACCATAGCATTCTATGCGCGCCTAAAAGAGGCAGTAGATTATTACAGATAAGGCCTTACAGGGCTGTTATTCCGCTATTGCGGGGCAAGCGCAATAAGTCACATCGGCCTCGGCCTAGAACAGAAGAAGGCACGGGGTGGTTACAGTACCTCCTGCCCCACCATGGGCCGGAGAAGGTATTTGATGATATTAATCTCACAAAAAATGCTATGTCAGACTTTTCAGAACCACTTCGCAGTATGTATTTTCTTTTTTTGAAGGTTTGTAGGTCGTATCTGTTCGGAAATACCGCCACCGGAATGTCCTTTAGTCCCGCTTAAACTTACGCGAAAAAATGTGAACTTATTTAGGGCAAAGATAGGTTGGTTGTGTCATTATTCCGTCTATTCAACGTACAGAAATCCTTTACGAGGTTATATGTATATAGTTATATTAAAATTTCAATTAGTGTATTAAATCTTAATGAACGGAAATTAATAACTTATGTTAAACGCGAATTGTATAGATAGACAAACTACAAACTGTCAGATTATATTGAGGGCAAGAATGCCTGGCAGTATGTTGGTTCGGCTCCACTGGACATGATCAAATACGGTCAGTAGTCACATAAATTCTCAAAAAGAATGAACCCTTAAGTTATATATCCCGCTGGAACCGAAGTAAGAACCTACCAAAGATACCGTGCCAGGTAAGCTCTTTAGTCAGGCCAAAGTTGAGGACGCCATGGCGTCTCTCAGACCACTCCTTAAATCCGAACCATTACCTATAGACGGACGGATAGCGGAGACTAAGTATAAGAGTTTTACCCCTTTAGGAACGTTACCATAAAAATAGGCATATCTAATTTTATTTATATTCGATATTGTTATATGTGCTATAGGCTAGAACACATTGCTCAACAACGTAGACATTGTGCGCAATCACCGAGTACAGTCACAAAATGTAACACAAAATTATAATTAAAAGATAGACCTGTTTGTCAATATTATTTATTTACACTTTTCAGTGATATACCGGATAACATTATTGATGCAGAGGTAATTAGGTTGCGGAGGTGAGGCACTAGGTTTGTAACCAGCATCAGTTCTATGATCATGCACTCCTGTATATTTCAAGAGTTGTATGCAAACCTTTACCGAGTCGTTCAGGTTTCAAAGTTATTTCTACGTAATTCTTCCCCAGTGGAGAATGGATTATCTCAGGAAGGTGACTTAAATGAGTAGTTACAACAAACATGTCGATTTTGATGTCACTATCAGCTCGATACACCTTGGTGATGCTCTGCTCTTGACCTTCAACCGCTGGCAAGAAATCATTCGATCTGAAAATAATATTCCAAAATGTATTTATACAATAATATTTTCTAAACAAAAAGTGAAATAATATTACAATCTTATTCAATTTCTCCGTACTGAGGTTGCTGTTCCTTGAGATTCAATTTCCTAACTTTCCGTACTTTATAAACTGTTCCTTGCTTGCTTGCTTTGTAATAAATAAATAAAAAGTAAGAGCGAAAAGACTTGGTACACATTTTTTATTAGTTAGAAGCTTAGTGGATACTCACTTGGACACCAGTTCGTAACTGCCATATCTGGCATTAAAGTCAGCTCTGAACAGAACTACTCCGTTGGGTGACTTCTCGTCGAATACTATGACTTGAGACATCTCCTCCTCGCTCTGGAGGACAGCGGCATCATAGCAGGCTGCGAGTGCTGACAGCACTACGATGATCATTAAGCTCCTCATCTATAACAATACGTCGATAGATCAAACTAGGTGATGAGAGAACACTTTTGAAGCAATTAGTTTTGCAAAGAAAATGAAGCATTATTTAGGTGACAAAATTTCATTTAGCAAAATACCGAAAATCACTCACCTTTATTTCTTAAATTCTCTTGAATAGTAAGAACGTTTAACTTACAGCAGAGTGTGTGTAATGTGCTTGTAAGTTGTGTCTCCGACTGTTATATAGCAAGTTTCTTGATAAGATATATGAGCAGTTGTATCCATATCTTCAGGAAATCTATGTGCTTTCTGATTTTTATTGATATCATCCAAATTTCAAGTTGTTAGTAGATAAAAATAATGAGCTGTAATAAGGTTGACTCACCGCAATCTAATTGTTTATTTAGGTAGGGGGGGGGGCGTACTCCGGAAAGAATGGCCGGCTCGATCAAAATGATACCACGGTCTCATAGAAAACCACAGTGAAACAACTCTTGCGTTATATTATCGTGAGGTTACCGGAGGCCTGTCTTCCCCATTCTTCCTGTTATAAAGCTCAACGGTGACTGACTGATATAGTGATCTATCAACCCGCATCCCAAACCACTAAACGGGTCGGGCTATCCCTAAGAAGGTTAAAGGGGGATGCAAGTTTCTATGAAACTCCGTCGACTTTAAAACTATAATGATAACATTTAATATAAGGATATTTGACTAAAAATAATGGATGACGTGTTCAATGATTTTTGTGAAATTACCATTAAAGAGGATAAAAAAGGAGGAGTGAGATTGTGTAAAGCTTTGTAGTTTTTGAAATAAAAAAAAATCATGCAAATTACAACCGGATTACTTAATAAGACAACATCACTAAGGAAACATTAGATAAACTTTTTCACACATTTAAAACAACATTAGCCATTTTAATAAGGGTTATAGTTAATTATTAGTTCACTAGGTGGCGCTGATTTACCGTGGAACATATCGGTCTGATCACTTTAGCTTTCAATTGTATCTTGTATTGTTTAATGATTTCACACAAGCTATTTGTTTATTAAGCTACATGGTCCCAAATTAAGTGAGACTGAGAGCCATACAGAGTATTAAGAGCTCAGACGAGCCTGACATTATCATCATTTCAACTATGTACAAGCTGTTCACTGCGGAGCATAAAAAAATCCTAGGCTTCCTCTATCCACCGGTTGGAAATGGTCTACATCCAGCGCCACCCTGCACCTTGATATCCTAAATATGGGCGTCCATTATCTTCCCTTATACTTCTTTTATATTATGTCTGTTTATTGTCAATATCTCTACTTAAATTACGGTAAGAAAATTTGTTCTTCCCTTCCACAATATTCAACAGCATCCATATTTCACGCTGTGAAAAACAATGTGAAAACGAGAGAGACTAATATAATAATCTTTACCTAGGAAATTGTCGTTTTGCATGAAAAAAATTAAACGATTTTTTTTGATTTGAAATGCGATGAAAATGTAACACTAACTAATTAAGAAATGACTACTTTTGGAAAAAGAATCCCATGTTTTTAAAACAAAATTAATTAGCCTTAGCCTAACAAAAACTATTTTGATTTGAAATGGCCAGTACTGCAGAACGGCAATTTCATAGGTAAAGAACTATTATTAAGTCACGATTAAGGATATGTAGCGACATCTATGACGTGTGTATGAAACTATGTTGGTTTGATAGATACCTAATGTATTAAAAATGATGATTTTATTAATATTGTTAAAATTGTATTAATCACTGTAGTCATATATAGATAGCGCTGTACACAACGATAATTTGAATATTGAGTCATTAATAATCAAAGTGTGAAGCTACCTAAACTGTACAAATTTTAAACCTTCTATGTAAAGGAACGTGTACTTTCTGTGTGTGTTTCTTTGAAGTTGATGATGATTAAATGATAAAAACTGGTACATTTTTTTTACGTCAAACTATTCGAATGAGTTAATACATGTGGGAATATGACCTGCAACACGTTACACAGCAACCAGTGGCTCGGCCACTACGCAGTCGATTATCAAAACATTAATTATTATTACATTCTTTGGAAAACCCTAATATACCCAAAAGGATTTAAATTTCTTGCTGTCGAGTTACTACACAAAACAAGTGCAATGTTCCCCATCTGCCGCAGTAGGCAACACTCTTCAGGGATCCATAGATGATCTACGGTCATCGTAAGCGCACATTTACTCACCGTACACGCTACGGTCAATGAAGGTAGTTCGCCACCTGACCAAAACCATATCCGTACCATAGCATTCTATGCGCGCCTGAAAGAGGCAGTAGATTATTACAGATAAGGCCTTACAGGGCTGTTATTCCGCTATTGCGGGGCAAGCGCAATAAGTCACATCGGCCTCGGCCTAGAACAGAAGAAGGCACGGGGTGGTTACAGTACCTCCTGCCCCACCATGGGCCGGAGAAGGTATTTGATGATATTAATCTCACAAAAAATGCTATGTCAGACTTTTCAGAACCACTTCGCAGTATGTATTTTCTTTTTTTGAAGGTTTGTAGGTCGTATCCGTTCGGAAATACCGCCACCGGAATGTCCTTTAGTCCCGCTTAAACTTACGCGAAAAAATGTGAACTTATTTAGGGCAAAGATAGGTTGGTTGTGTCATTATTCCGTCTATTCAACGTACAGAAATCCTTTACGAGGTTATATGTATATTGTTATATTAAAATTTCAATTAGTGTATTAAATCTTAATGAACGGAAATTATCTATTTTTAATTTATAGGTCGATATTGTTATATTTGCTATAGGCTAGTACACATTGCTCAACAACGTAGACATTGTGCGCAATCACTGAGTACAGTCACAAAATGTAACACAAAATTATAATTAAAAGATAGAGCTGTTTGTCAATATTATTTATTTACATATTTCAGTGATATACCGGATAACATTATTGATGCAGAGGTAATTAGGTTGCGGAGGTGAGGCACTAGGTTTGTAACCAGCAACAGTTCTATGATCATGCACTCCTGTATATTTCAAGAGTTGTATCCAAACCTTCACCGAGTCGGGGTTTCAAAGTTATTTCTACGTAATTCTTCCCCAGTGGAGAATGGATTATCTCAGGAAGGTGACTTAAATAAGTATATACAACAGTCATGCCGATTTTGATGTCACTCTCAGCTCGATACACCTTGGTGACGCTCTGCTCTTCACCTTCAACCGCTGGCACGAAATCTTTCGATCTGAAAATAATAATCCAAAATGTATTTATACAATAATCTTTTCTAAACAAAAAGTGAAATAATATCACAATCTTATTTAATTTCTTCGTACTGAGGTCGCTGTTTCTTGAGACTACTAACTTTCCGTACTTTATGAACCGTACCTTGCTTTGTAATAAATAAAAAGTAAGAGCGAAAAGACTTGGTACACTTTTTTATTAGTTAGAAGCTTAGTGAATACTCACTCAGACAGTAGTACAAAACCGCTATATCTGGCATTAAAGTCAGCTCTGGACAGAACCATTCCGTTAGGTGACTTCTCGTCGAATACTATGGTGACTTGAGACATCTCCTCCTCGCTCGGGAGGACAGCGGCGTTATAGCAGGCTGCGAGTGCTGATAGCACTACGATGATCATTAAGCTCCTCATCTACAACAATACGTCGACAGATCAAACTAGGTGTTGAGAGAACATTTTTGAAGCAATTAGTTTGCAAAAAAATTAAGCATTATGGTGACTAAATTTCATTAAGTAAAATACTGAAAATCACTCACCTTTATTTCTTTACTTTCTCTTGAACCGTAAGAACGTTTAACCCACAGCAGAGTGTGTGTAATGTGCTTGTAAGTTGTGTCTCCAACTGTTATATAGCAAGTTCCTTGATTAGATACATGAGCAAATGTATCTATCTTCAGGAAAACTGTGTTCTCTCTGATTTTAATCGATAGCATCCGGATTTCAAGTAATTAGTAGATAGCATTTAATGAACTGTAATTAGATTGACTCACTGCAATCTAATTGTTTATTTAATATTTTAATTTTAATAGGTATGTGGACCCGTACTCCGGAAAGAATGGACCGGCTCGATCTTCGGAAAGGATACCACGGTCTCATAGAAAACCACTGTGAAACAACTCTTGCGTTATATTATCGTAATCGAGGTTACCGGAGGCCTGTCTTCCCCTTTCTGCCTGTTACAAAGCTCAAGGAAGATGGAAATAAGAAGATGGAAATAAGAAATAAGTGTTAAGCGGGAGGGGGAGATAAAAATAAATAGTAACTGACCGATCTGATAGGGGCATGTATTGCAGAGATACCACTTACATACATGTAGGCAATGACTAAGAAACATAAAACCAGTTTTTCGCCAGAACGAGTGTCAAACTCTTACTGACTAAAAACCTTTCCTTTTCCTACTCCAAGCCAAGGCCGCGTTACTTTATTGCGCTTGACCCGCAACTCCGGCCAAACATCGACTCCACTGGTCCCACCTGTTGTCCCGTCTATTGTCTTTTTGAGGCGCGCGTGGAACGCTACGCGCTGCACGTTCGGGTCTGGTTATAGTCGGGTGGCAAGCTACCCTTGCTCGGGACCTTGGGTGGAGATCGTTAACCCTGTCGCCCAGAGTGTCATCTAATGCGGCGGCTGGGGCGCGAGAAGCATAGTCCCCTTATGCGCTCCGGCTTCTTCTTTGCAAGCATCACTACTTCCCAGTTCCCGATGCTCTCCAAGGACATGGCGGTGCTCAGTTCAAGCAGGGGAAACCGCCATCATGTCTTCTGTGTGATCCCGTCAATGATGACACCGGGGCGTTTACTCGGGTAGGTTACTCCCGCCGGATCCGAAACAGGAACCAACTGCTGCCATTCCAAGCTGCCACTCAGGGTACCTGTGTTAGGCGGAAGGTGGGTCACTCCTCAAAGAGAGATCTAACCACGGCCATAACAGCGTGCCCAAACCTACCAGTACCTAGTGGAAGGAATTAAGTAAGAAGAAAAAAATATCTTTTTCGTTCGAAATGTCAAATTAGTTAAGGATATTGAATACCAAGAAGTTTTGTAGGCAGGACTTTTTTTTTTACACACGCTATACAAATGTTAAATCGAAGAACTATACCTAATTAAAAAGCATGAACGAAGCCACGGGTACCAGCCAGTTATTAATTTTTGCGTAAGACACTAACAAACTTACATACTCACAAACGTTCACATTTATAATATTAGTAGGCGTTTGTCGCATTGCATATCATATCAATAAATGTCGCATTAAGTACTTATCTTACTAATCTATATTCCACGCTAATTCATAACAGAATCATAGTCAAAATATAAAGATATCGAAAATTGATATCGGATATTGATATAAACATTTCCACTACCACAAAAAAAAACGATTCTCTGTATAAGAGCCTGTTCACTAAGCTAAATAAAATTTATTTTCTGACGAACGTCGCGTCAAGTTTGCTACTCTTGCATGAGGGTTTGAAATCTGGCAAGTGTCAATGTGACTTATACGAATTATGTGTACTTTAGTGCGGAAGAGCCAAGCTTCGGCAGGAATGGGTCGGCTCGACCGGAGTGATACTATGGCCTCACAGAATACCGGCGTGCAACAACCCAATCCATCCAGTGAAGTTGACTTCCATAAAATTCAACGATTACAATCTCGTTGTTGTTAATATGTATGTGTTAGTGTTTTGTTTTCCTTTTTCCTTACATAGGTTTATGTGCGGTTTGTTTGACATTCAGTACGTAGTCCAATAAGTGGAAGCTATCTCCATGTAGCGGCTCGCTGCGACCTTTATTAAGGCATCTGTCCCATTTTAGGAGTTCATCTTTAGATATCTGGCAATGAGTCATAATTTATCTAAAATTTACTATTGAAACATTATCTATAACCGGATTTTAATACGTATGACATCAATTCACTGTAAATTAATCCCTTCTTAGATATTAATTAATTATCAATATTAAACACGATTGTAGATTTTTAGAGAGACGAAAACAATAGTATCGCAAATATCATAATTTCAAACTGCGAGTGGTATCAACTGAAATCAAGTAATTAAAAAAGGTGCTAGCAGATCAGAATACATTTTTAATTAAATTACAAATGTTAAAAGTAAACAAAATTCGCGTGGCGTGCACTTTCCAAAAGTAATCAATTATTGCGATAGAATTCTATTAATTAAGCTACGATGCGATGGTCTTTCAATATAGTCTGAGGTTGAATACCGTTGACATTCGTTACGCGCGTTTTTTAAATATAAAAATATTACCGTGCCCAGGCTTAGGCCGCGCTCCTTTCTTAGGAAAAAAGATGCTTTCGGGGAGACTAAGCTCAGCGGTGCAGTTAGTCAGATCAGACAGCTCACAAACGTAAACACAGCAGGGCTTGTCTATTTTATCTACTTTCACAGCATTATGCCGTACGGAAGTTTGCTGGAGAATAGAGCTGCAGAAGTAGAATCAATGTTGATGCTGCAATCGCGGGCTATATGAGCGATATACACCATACCCCATCGCCAGTCTCGGAGAGAACTGTTTAAAAGAATTAATATCCTTACCTACACTGCCTTGACAGTTTATATGTATATGAAAATATTATGTAAGTGAAGAATATTTTGCAACTATTTGAAAAGGAAGCGATAGTCATGATTTTAATACAAGAGACAAAGTTAGGCTGGCTGTGTCTCGTTGCCGTCTGTCCAAAGAACAAAATTTTTTTATGGGGTTAGGTGTAAATCGTTACAATAAAATTTCAAGTAGTGATTTAAATTTTATGCTTATGTTAAGCATGTGTTAATGATCCTTAATTTATATGTATATCCATTGAGTCTATTAAAAGCATTCTTTTGGATTGTCTGTATGCATATGAGGGTGCCATGTTCTAGACAATAAATGATTTAAAATTTGATGGTAGATCCCATCCCATGTTCATTTTTCCTAACAAGTTGTATCTGCATTATTCTTACATATGGGTTCAATAATGTATACTAAGTAACGTTTTAGTGAAATTGTAAAACAAATATTTTTTTAAAACAGTAACAGTGGAGTTTCTTGCTAGTTATTGGAATCTACAATTTGGAACGAGCACCTAGCTTCTCTGACGAACAGACTCATTGACAGCTACTTCATTGTTCCCGAGCGTACGGCGCGTAGCGTTCCGCGCGCGCCTCAAAGAGCCAATAGACCACCACAGACGGGGCCCTAAAGGGCTGGTTCAGCCGGGGTTGCGGGGTAAGCGCAATGAGGCACTGCGACCTCGGCCCACAGCAAGAGAAGGAAAAGGGGGGTTTTTAGTCAGTAATAGTCTGACACTCCCTCCCGCCCAGCCCTGGGCGGGAGAAGTCTTTGATGATTTTCCCCTCAAAAAAAAGCTACTTCATTGTTACTTTTCAAAAGTACCTACTAATGGTTTAATTGGAGTAAAAATAATTGAATTTTGAATTTTGACCCGAACTTGGGTTGACCGAAGATTATTCGATCCCCGACGCCCGGAGTGCCGCCTGCTGCGGCGGCTGGGGTGTGAGGAGGATAGTTCCCTCGACTTTTCCCAAGAAGAGTCAGCACGAACGAACACAGTACGCGGACGAAGTTGTGGGTGGAACCTAGTGCACATTGTTCAACTACGCAGACATTGTGCGCAATCACCAAGTATAGTCACAAAATGTAACACAAAATTATAGGTATAATAAAAAGATAGAGCTGTTTGTCAATATTATTTATTTACACATTTCAGTGATATACCGGATAACATTATTGATGCAGAGGTAATTAGATTGCGGAGGTGAGGCACTATGTTTACAAACTAGCATCAGTTGTATGACCTCCTGTATATTTGAATTTGTGTATTCAATTCTTGACCGACACGGGGTATCAAAGTTATTTCTACGTAATTCCTCCCCAGTGGAGAATGGATTATCTCAGGAAGGGGATTGTAAAAAGAAGTTACAACGGTCATGTCGATTTTGATGTCACTCTCAGCTCGATACACCTTAGTGATGCTCTGCTCTTGACCTTCAACCGCTGGCACGAAATCTTTCGATCTGAAAATAGTATTATAATATTTGTTTATACAACAATCTTTTATCAACAAAAAGTAAAGTTATTTTACAATCATATTATTTTTTCTGTACTGGGATTGCTGTTCCTTGAGATTGAGTTTCCTAACTTTGCGTACTTTATGAACTGTTCCTTGCTTTGTAATAAGGGCGAAAAGACCTGGTACACATTTTTTATTAGTTAGAATCTTAGTGGATACTCACTCAGAGAGTAGTACAAAACCGCCATATCTGGCATTAAAGTCAGCTCTGGATAGAACCATTCCGTTGGGTGACTTCTCGTCGAATACTATGACTTGAGACATCTGCTCCTCGCTCGGGAGGACAGCGGCATCATAGCAGGCTGCGAGTGCTGACAGCACTACGACGATCATGAAGCTCCTCATCTACAACAATACATCGACAGATGAAACTAGGTGATAAAAGAAATTTTTTGAGCAGTTATTTAAAAAAAAATTAAGCATTATTAAGTGACAAAACTTTTTTCAGCAAAATACTGAAAATCACTCACCTTTATTTCTTTACTTTCTCTTCAACCTTAAGAACGTATAACTCACAGCAGAGTGTGTGTAATGTGTTTGCAAGTTGTGTCTCCTACTGTTATATAGCAAGTTCCTTGATAAGATACACGAGCAGATGTGACCATATCTTTAGAAAAACTGTGTTCTTGCTGATTTTAATTGATAGCATTCGGATTTCAAGTGATTAGTAGATAGTAATAATGAACTGTAATAAGGTTGACTCACCGCAATCTAATTCTTTATTTTAATAGGTGGGGCAGAGCCATATTCCGAAAAGAATAGGCCGGCTCGATCAAAATGATACCACAGTCTCATAGAAAACCACTGTGAAACAACTTTTGCATTATATGATCGTAAATGAGATTACCAGAGGCCTGTCTTTCCTATTATGTCTGTTAAAAAGCTCAAAGATGACTTACTGACTGACACAGTATCTCTCAATGCACATCCCAAACCACTGGCTGGTTGGGCTGAAAGTAAATTTTATGAGGTAGGCACTAAGAAAGAATTTTGAAAAGTTTTAAGAGGATTAAAAGGGGGGTATATGTTTGTATGAAACTGCGTCAATTTTCAAGCTGTAGCGACAAAGAATTTAAGGAAAACGTATTTAAGGATTTTGGAAATTCACCGTTTAAAAGGGTAAAAAATTAGGGGGAGTTTGTGTGAAGCACACCTTACAGAGATACAAATTAGTATTTGGTTATTTGATGAAAAAATAGGACTGACATGTTTTAGGATTTTATTACGACTTTCATGACGACAGATTTTGTTAAAAGAATAGCTCGGCACATATAATCCTTTAGCACTTATTGTTAATCTAACTTTTGAACAAGGATGTTTTTCTGAGACGATAAAGCTGTCGTCAATAAAACCACTGCATAAAAAAGGTTCCAATTCAAATGTTGACAATTATAGACCTATAGCACTTAAGTACTTTTATTTTCTCTAAAATATTTGAAAGAGCTATGTATACAAGGGTTCTCAATTTTCTTAATAAATATAATATTCTTGATCAGCAACAATTTGGCTTCAGAAAAAATTAAATCTACTACCCATGCTATATTTACTTTAACTAAAACTGTTATGAATAATTTGAATAATAATTATTTTGATTTTTTCTTGATTTGAGCAAAGCGATCTCTTTGACACACAAAATACTATAGGACATAATGGATAGATATGGCATTAGAGGTTCAGCTCTAAAATGGTTTCAATCGTAACTGAGTGAGAGGAACAGATAACTAGGGTAACAAAATATAATGAAAGTTGGAACTTTTTGGATAAATTTGACTCAGAATCCAGAATAAACCCATTTGGAGTACCACAGGGAAGCATTTTAGGGCCACTATTGTTCCTTATTTAAATTATTGAATTTTTACTATCAATTAAATATCAGAATGTCTTTTTTGCAGACTAAATCACTATTATGGTGGATTTCAAAAATAAACAGGACCGTAATAGAGTTATTGAACAAACGCTAGACGGTATTAGTAATAAGTTGAACGTTAATAAGTTAAGCTCAATATATCAAAAACAAGTATAATTAATTTCAAAGCATAGGTAAATCATTAGACATAAGTGTATGGGGGAATTCTACAGATATCAGCAGAATTTTCATTGCCCAAAAACAATGTATTTGTGCAATGTTTAATATGCAATGGTCTGAATCTTGTAGACCGATTTTTAAAGCACATAACCTTTTAACTGTACCCTGCATGAACATCTACGAGGTTGCTAAGTTTTTGCGTTCAAACTCCTCATTATTTGAACGGAAAAGTAATTATTAAAAATAGTAAGGCAACGCATTTAGATTTTGAGATGCCGGTCACTAAACTAGCACTTTTTCGCCGGAGCTGTGTTTACATGGCACACCTTATTTATAATTCTATACCTAAAGTTATTACTAACCTCCCTTTAATAAGTTCTGTACCACGCTGCGGAAGTGGTTGCTGTATGAAAGTTTCTATTCAATAGAAGATTTTTTACTGAAATATTCATGTAAAATTTTTTCATACAAACGAACATTAATAAATCAGTAATATTATTAAAATTGTGACATTATTATAATAAAATTGTGCACTGATAAAAAGATCAGTGCTATATGACATTAAATAATAAGCTATTGCTTATTATTTGCTATTGCTTATTAATGTCAACTTTTGGAATTTTTGACTGATTGATGATGACATAACATTTTAATTGATTAATTACTTGCAACAAACATTATATTGTTTAATTTATGATATTAAATATTTGCATGCCTGACTTGGTGAAATGTGAGGATCTCAAAAATATTGTATTACATTTAATGTACCACTTTTCTAGCAAATAAAAATTGATTTGAATAGAAATTTTTCTCTCTTTGGATAAGTAATAAATAATAATATATAATATTTCAATGTGCGGAAAGAAAATTAAAAAATCCCTGGGTCAGACTCTTACTGGTCGTGCCGTTCCTTTTCCTACTCCAGGGCGAGGTCGCGTTACTTTATTGCGCTTGACCCGCAACCCCTGCTAAACATCATACCCGTTGTTCCCTCTGCGGTGGTCTCTTGGCTCGCTTGAGGCTCGCGTGGAATGCTCCACACGCAGGGTCTGGATATGGTCGTGTGGCGCGCTACCCTTGTTTGGGACCTAGAGCGAAAATCGTCGCGTCAACATCGACAACCGGAGTGACAACTACCAATGTGACGTTTTCCAAGCTATGCATGGCAATTAATGCTCAAACTTTCTCCGTGTGAGAAGAGGCCTTTGCTCAGCAGTGGGCAGTTATAGGCTGATGATGATGTTGACTTTCATAAGATTCGACTGTTACAATCTCGTTGTTGTTTATATGTATGTGTTAGTGTTTTGTTTTCCTTTTACTTTACATAGATTTATGAGCAGTTTGTTGTCTGTTTGGTGTTTTATCACCAGCATCGGAAGGGTTTCAGCCATGTTTTTGGGTGCAAACCATAATATACCTAGACCCCGGCCCGAAGCAGTAGAGCGCACTGGGTGGATTTGACTCAGTAAGCGCTCTCGCCTCACCGAAGGCAAGAGAAGACATTAGACGATTTTGCTTTAAAAAACCATGGGAAGGATTCACATATTTGGCAAGTTTCATTAATAAATAAGTATGTTTTTATTTTCTCTTGTAAAGACATTCAGTACGTAGTCCTATCAGTGAAGTTGACTGCACGGTTGGTGCGGTGGCTGGGCAACTGGCTGCCGTGCAGCGTGTCGCGGGTACGATTCCTGCATGGAACAACTTTTTCTGTGATCCACAAATTGTTGTTCCGGGTCTGGGTGTCATGTGTATGTGAAATTGTATGTTTGTAACTGCACCCACGACACAGGAAAAATCCAACATTTAAAAAAAAAAAGAAAAAAAAAAGAAGCTATCTTTATGTAGTGATTTGCTACGACCTGTATTAAGTCATGTGTCCCGTTTTAGGAGTTCGTCTTTCGATACCTGGCAATGAGTCATAATTTACTAATGAAACATTATCTATAACCGGATTTCAAATCGTATGTCACCAAGCACTGTAAATTAATCCCTTCATAGATATTTATCAATTATCAAAATTAAACATGATTGTAGATTTTTAGAGACACAAACAATGGTATCGCTAATATGATAATTTCATTCTGCAGGTGGTATCAAACTACAACAAGTAATCTAATAAAAGTGCTAGCAGATTAGATAACGGTTTTTATTCCGTTGCGCATGTTGTAAAATAAGGAAGAGTCACTACGTAGTTTGAAACTCATATTCTTATGTATGCTTGAATATTTAAAACTACTACTGAATAGTTGTCACAACATCCAATAACTGTTAAAATCATATTTTTTTAAAGGAAGAAAATCATAATATTATTTCTCCCTCCCAGGGGGGAGGAGATTGACGGTGCCTGACTCTTATCGACAAACACCACCCCTTTCCTTCTCCTTCTGCAGGCTGGGGCTGCGGGTGCAAGCATTGTTGCGTCTGAACATTAGGACCCATCTGTGGCACGTCCAATGCCTCTTTGAGGCACGCGTGGAACGCTATGCGTCGACGCTCGGTTCTGGTTCTGATCGAGCGGCGAGCTGTCCTTATTCGCCATCCGTTGACCCGCACTTGCCGTTACCGGAGATCGTCGCGTGAGCTTCGACGCCCGGTGTGCATGAGTGAACATCAAACATCTTGGGAGAGGTTGAGAGGAGGGAGTGTCAGAATTTTTATGACGAAAAATCTACTTGATCCATCTCCTGCCCCGAGACGCTTCATATTATTGCGATCGCACCCGTAAACACAGCCTTAGACTTCGGCGCTAGTTGGCCTTATCTGTGTTGATATGACGGAAGTTAACAAAGCACTTATCATAATGAGTGTACATTGTTGTTTTTGCATGTCTGAAATGATAAAAATCTAAATGCTTAAGTTTTATTGATGATAAAGGGGTATCCAATCTTAATCATCACAGTGGTGACAAGCGATGATAATGCAAAACTAAAGATGACTACAGTACCGAACGGACGATCTGAACCAATTCAGGTGCTTTTACATGAGTATGTATCAACAAAACTAAAAATTTTTTGTAAGCTAGGAGGTTTCGACAGCTGGCAAGTAGCAATGTGACTTTTTTGACACTGGCAGTATAGTCGACAACATTAAATTGGAGAATCGGTTGCCATACAAGAAAGAAAAAAAAATGTGACTTTTGACAATATAATATTTATTACTAGCTTTTGCCCGCGACTCCGTTCCCGTTAATAGTGACTTTCTGCAGATTTGTGGTATAAAAACTATCCTATCTCCGTTCACGAGTTCCAAACTATGTATGTTCCAAATATCACACAAATAGGTTCAGTTGTTTAGGAGTAAAGAAAAGACAGACAGACAGAGTTACTTTCGAATTTATAATATTTCTAATAATTTAAACAAGAAATTAATAATGAACTTATTAACAAACAAATGGTATAAAATGGTGTGTTTTTTTAATTCGAAATTATATCGAATTATCGTTATGTTTAATGAGACTGATAACAAATTAAGTACTTACTACTAAAATCACTTACTTAAACACAACACTTATTGTGATAATTGATAACCTTATCATATTAATACGTTTTTACCTAAGTCGTATACATGAATCTGATGACATTAGCGATAAGTTTGAAGAGAGAATCAGTAGGAGATTTGGGGAAGTAAAAATATTCAAACAAGAGTAATAATAATAACTATTTTTTTATCTCGTAATCTGATATGACGGCAAAAAAGCATATGGATTAACTGATGGTTAGCAACCGCCGCCGGCAATAGATATCCAATGTTTAGTTACGAGAAGAAGGTATAACGAGAGAAGACAAAAATGTATTGTAATTCTAATCATATGTATTAATATATGTAGCGAAAAAGAGGCAGCATCATCAATATGAGGAACGTGAAACATAACAAGAAATGATCAAAATTAAAGAAGTGTCATTCTGTGTTTATTAGTCCTCTAGTAAAGCTATTTGCTTGTTTAGAGACGTAAAAGACAGAAACAAAAGGAGTAATAAAATCCTTGGTTACTACTTTTTAATCAATTTTCTATCTTAAAATTTTATACTAAGTTCTATTATAAATATGTAATCAACTACATGACAAATCTGATTCATATAATTATGATTACGTACCTACTTGTGAAACCCAGGATTGCGGAATATCAAATGTCAAATTGGGCTATGACAATGAGACAAGCAACGGTAGCTAATTTTCACAAACTAAGCAAAAGTATCAAAATTTGGATACTTCCATATTAAAAAGTATTTTTTGTTTAAATAAGAAAATACACAGAAGAAAACGCTAGTACCCCCTCAGGTCTCAGTCCTGTAACGTTTTGCAAAGTAGGTCCCAATACCGGGCCCTGTGGAACACCGCACGGTGAAAGAGCCCATTACAGTAAATCGATACAAATTACTCTATACCATATTGCAAAAAATCTTCCCACAGGGTTCTAAATAGTTATGGGGTTGCGACTGCAGGTTCAATGATGTACCGCGGCTCGTTTCGGAGCAGGAGAACGAAGTGGTGGTAGTTAGTCAGTATGGACAAGATGATCGTTTTCCCCTTAAAAAAATGGAATCTACATAAGATTCATATATCACCATTTCCAGTTTGTAGCAAGTATCCGATGAACTTATGTCGTACATACAAATTACGTTCTATATTTACAATACGGTACATAATGGATAACCGGAAATTGCAATACAGGCTCTTGATTAACGTAAGGGCGTTTGCCACTGACTATAATATTAGGGTTCAGGTATAAAATTCACTTTAAAATTATCTTTTTCAATTTTATCTGAAATTTTACTAAATAGATAAGCGGTAACACAAAGCAACATTTTTGATTAATCTTCTTATCTTTTCTATTTATGTGATAGCTAATTGTGGCATGAACTAGTGACAAGACGTACGCAAAAGCAAATTGTACTTCCAAAAAAAGTAAGTTAACATTGATTTTTTTTTTCTTTTTTATTTTCATTATTCTTTATTTAGCAGTAGCTGATCTAGCGAACTCCATGTAGCCTCAAAAGTTTTAGAATGTCAGTTTCGTTAGCAAATCTTAAATATCTTATGTCGCTTACTGAGTTGATAGTTTGTACGGGAAAGGAAATAGCATTGTTTTAATTTACACTTTTAAAATTTAATTTAACTATGTCGGACCACCCACTAACAAACAGAATTTTTTAATGTGTATAAATTGGACTGGCAAACACCATTCCTTTTCAAAATTGACTAATAATAATTTAAAATTGATAGATTCGTTCCTTGTCAAATATCGAATGTCTCAGTACGAAAATTGATGGTTTTACTAATTTTTTTGCAGTCACTTTATAATTTAGTGTTCATTTATATCTTCTCTGAACTTTCACCAATACTGAAGACTAATATTACTCAAATTGGTCCGCCTACTCTCGAGATTTAGTGAGACTAGCGGAAAGCAATTTCTAAGAAGATGGAAGGACGAACAATCTTTTTTTTAAATTAATAACGTCAACAACGTCATCAGGGAAAAGTCATTCGATGTTTTCCCCAAAAAAAACAGGGCTGATGCAATATTCTTTTAAAACGGATCATCCGCTAAAAACGTTTCAGTCATAATATTTATCAATTAGTTTAATTTTTTTTTTTTTGATAACAGTAACAGTTAAGACAAAACTATCATATTTTATAATATAATATAATCAAAAGCTTATCAAACATTTAAGATTAATGAACCAGCAAACGAGTACCTTGTATGATTTGGTTTTTGTTTGGGATCGACACGTTTATGACGTGAGGCGCTCTGATTGGCCTACGCCAAGATAACTAACTACAAATCTGACAGAGAGCTAAACATCGTAATGTTTTTATCGCGTTGACGTAAAACCAATTCACTCTAGGAGGAGAAAGACAGGTTAGTTTATGGCATTTTGGGGGAGATTAGCATGGCACGGCGGAAAAAAGCATTCGTTGATTCAATCCGGTTTATGTAATTATACATAAAATATAAGTTATTGTACGTAAAATATAAGTTGTAAATTAAAACAAAGCCCACAAATTGAGGGTTGCCCTTGTTTTTCCCAAAACTCATTATCTGATACAGAATCTGACAATATTGTCGTACTAGCATCCGCCCCCGGCTTCGCACAAATGTATCCCTGAATTTCAAAAACAGTAACGTTTAAATCGATAGCTCGACACACATTAAGGAAAACTTTTAGCTTATAGCTGTCAAGAACATTGTGGATATCTATCAGTGAAATAATTTTGGAAATCTCACTAGCGGTTCCAAATATTATCCCCTCCATACAAGCTTACAAATGTTATCAGCTTATAATATTAGTAAACATAAAAAATATAACTTACTCTAACTGAGATTACTTAAACGTTGACATAGATGAGGAGCTTCGTCATCATCGTGGTGCTATCAGCACTCGCAGCCTGCTATGGTTCTTCTGTCCTCCCTGGGAAGGCAAACATGTTCTCATCCTTCGTTCGAGAACAGATGTCAAAGGGTTGGATCTTGGAGCATAATGAAGAAGACGCTGCCCAGAACAGAGTCACTCTGACCAAAGGAGAAGGAGAGACGAGGGAGGGGGTTAAATAGCCGGGAAGATAAAAGGATGGCCCGTTTTGCTCGAGACTAAACTCAGATGACGATAATTTAATGCGATAAGATGCGATAAGAAAATTCTGAGTTTCCAAGCCGACCACCATCAGCTTGGAAACTCATATGGGTAAATTGCTACAGCAGCACTTGAACCTCGGGGGCTACCAGATTGAAGTAGAAGGCGTCGACTATGCTGGGCCTGTTTTCTCAGCTAGTCGACAAGGACGCGGTTGTCGACTAATCAAGGTGTAAGTATATTGTTTTATTTGTATTATTTACTACATAGGCTGTTCATATCAAGTTGGTAGATGATTCAACAAGCAACAATTTCCTGACAGCTCTTCGTAGACCTAAACACAATTACTTCGATAATGGAACCTCATTTGTCGGAGCTTATAATGTGATTTTGAAATTTATTAAGGATAACTGCAACTCTTTACCTAGTGATTTGGCTGAGGTAGAAACAACCTTTCGTTTTATCCCTCCTTATGCTCCACAATTTGAAAGTCTTTAAGAGTCTTTTATCAAGTCTATTTAATATCTTTTAAAGAAAGTACTAGAAAATTGTAATCTTATATTTGAGGAACACTGAATTAGTTTAAATAGATACCTTACTTAACTCACGTCCACTCACGCCACTATTATCGTGCCTCATGATCTTTTGCCGCTTATACCTAGACAATTTCTCATAGGACGGCCCCTCAAAGCTTTGCCAACGCCAAGTTATGAAGGTTGCTCAAAGACTCATTTAACCATATACCAAAGAATTGAGTAACTCTGTCAGCACTTCTGGACAAGATACAATAAAGAGTACGTATCAGAGATACAACAGCGAGTAAAATGGAGGTCATGTTCTACACCGATCAAGATTTCGTAGGTACTCATAAAGAATCAGAATCCTCCAGAAAGCGCTCACCCTGTGCAGGATGAAATTAGCCCTGTTGCTGATATCAGGACTACGGATGGAGTGGTTCGTCGAGCGTTCAGCAAAATCTGTCCCTTACCTGCAGTAAAGTCAGCCAGGGTTGCGGGGTAAGCGCAATGAGGCACCGCGACCTCGGCACAGAGCAGGAGAAGGAACAGGGGGGTTTTTAGTCAGTAAGAGTCTGACACTCCCTCCCGCCCAGCCCTGGGCGGGAGAAGTCATTTGATGATTTTCCCCTCACAAAAAAAACCTGCAGTAAAGTATTCCAGTTTAGATGCAGCCCCTCAACCCCCGGAGGGATGTTTATTTTTAGCATTCATCCCAGGTTTAAACGCCTAATCATTAGATGTCAGCAATGTCCACGCCATGTGTCATTGCGGACACTTTAATATTTTAAGCATTAGTGTTTAAGTACCGTCTTAGGTTTGATTTTTATGTAGATCGTAATTCGCGTGATGGAAAGATAAGTAGTTACATTGTCGGAAGAATTTTTATCCAGAATTCCGCATATCTTCTGCCAGGGAGCTATTCTACTGCAACAGGTGGGGAAAAATAGAGCCGATGTTCTGTAAATTAATTCAATAAAGCATGCAATGTATTAGCTTAAAAATTTACCGCTGCATCGGCATGAAGCAGGAGAAGGAATGGGGTGGTTTTTGGTCAGTAAGAGTCTAACACTACCTCTCGCCAAACACAGGCGACAAGCGAGAAGACATTTGATAACATTCCCAGCACAAAAAAAAAACTAGTGACCACGTGAATATTCTCGATAATAGATCCTGTTAACCTTAACTGGACTTCTTGGTCTTTGGTCCACCAGATTTTCATTTCGTATATTTTTTTTTATCGTAGAACGGCTTAAAGTGATGCTTTGATGTAAAATATATGTAAAGATATTTTTTTTGTTATCTTAATTAAGACCTAATAATAGTCTACTATGATATCACTAACGTGAACATTATACTAATTGTGATTATTATAATCTTATAATACTAATACGTTTTAAGTCCACATATTTATGAATATGATGACATTAGGGTTTGAAGAGATAGTCTGTAGCAAATTTTTGGCACGTAAAGATATTATAAGAAAAACTGAGAACAGTTTTTTCCTCAAATAGTCTGGTAGCAAATTTTTGGCACGTAAAGATATTATAAGAAAAACTGAGAACAGTTTTTTCCTCAAATAGTCTGAGAGGGCGAAAACCGAGCAGACGGATTACCTGATGCTAAGCAATAGCAATCGCTGCCGCCCATGCCCAAAACTATAGGGATTTACTAAGGGAGGGAAAAGATTTGTTGTGATTTTAATTAAATATTTTGGAGATCTGGCAAAATCAACCTAGTTCCAAATTTCTTACAAAATATCAAAAGTAGGAAAGTATCAATATTAAGCGATTTAGTTGTTGTAAGGTGAGGAAAAAACGAGCAAAATAATCTAAAAAGATTTCTTGAACAAATTACAAAATGTGCAGGAGAAAACGCAGGTACCCCCTCAGCTCTTATAACGTGTTCCAGGGTAGGTCCCAATACCGGACCCTGTGGAACACCGCACGGTGGAAGTGAGCACATTACAGTAAATTATAAGATATCAATTTCAATTCTGTCATGCTTTTTTTTATTAGATCGACAGACATGCAGACTGGTTACACGATGATAAGCAATTAGCGCCGCCCGTGCACACCCGCAACGGAGGAGCTACAAGTGCGTTGCCGACCTTTTAGGGAGTAGGGATTTGAAGATTTAAGGATTGAGGAAGGGGGAGGGGAGAATTATATTCCAGTTTAGAGGCAGCCCCTCAACCCCCGGAGGTATGTTTATTATTAGCATTTATCCCAAGTTTAAACGCCTAATTATTAGATGTCAGCAATGTCCACGCCATGTGTCATTGCGGACACTTTAATGTTTTAAGCATTAGTGTTTAAGTACCGTCTTAGGTTTGATTCTTATGTAGATCGTCATTCGCGTGATGGAAAGATAAGTAGTTACATTGTCGGAAGAATTTTTATTCAGAATTCCGCATATCTTCTGCCAGGGAGCTATTCTACTGTAACAGGTGGGGAAAAATAGAGCCGATGTTCTGTAAATTCATTCAATAAAGGGTTTGCGGTTGCAGCTGCAATGTGTTAGCTTAAAAATTTACCGCTGCTTCGGCATGAAGCAGGAGAAGTAATGGGGTGGTTTTTGGTCAGTAAGAGTCGAACGGGTAGCTCTCGCCAAACCCAGGCGAGAAGCGAGAAGTCATTTGATAACATTCCCAACACAAAAAACTAGTGACCACGTGAATATTCTCGATAATAAATCCTGTAAACCTAAACTGGACTTCTTTGGTTCCTAGACCTCTCAGAGAGACATGAGATATTGGTTATCATATTTCAGATGCTGTAAGCAGTCACTTATCGATGGTCTTTGGTCCACCAGATTTTCATTTCGTATATTTATTTTAATCACAGAACACCTTAAGGCGATGCTTTGATGTGAAATAAAGATATTTTTTTGATATCATAATATTTTCGTTATCTTTATTAAGACTTAATAATAGTTTAATATAAAATCACTAACGTGAATATTATACTAATTGTGATAATTATAATCTTATCATACTTATACGTTTTAAGTCTACATATTTATGAATATGATGACATTAGGGCTTGAAGAGATAGTCTGTAGCAAATTTTTGGCACGTAAAGATATAATAAGAAAAACTGAGAACATGTTTTTCCACAAATAGGATGATAGGGCGAAAAACGAGCAGATGGATTACCTGATGGTAAGCTATAGCAATCGCTGCCGCCCATACCCAAAACTATAGGGAGTTACTAAGGGAGGGAAAAGATTTGTTGTGATTTTTATTAAATATTTTGGAGATCTGGCAAAATCAGCCTAATTCCAAATTTCTTACAAAATATCAAAAGTAGGAAAGTTGTTGTAAGGTGAGGAAAAAACGAGCAAAATAATCTAAAAAGATTTCTTGAACAAATTACAAAATGTGCAGGAGAAAACGCAGGTACACCCCATCAGCTCTAATTGCTGGCGAGTATCCGATAAAGATGTGTGGCTTAAATTCATGCAATGATTATTATCAGCATGATTTCGTCCTTTGCTGAACATAGGCCTCCCCAATTGCAGTTCATACAATACTATTCGTTCATACTATATATTACTATGTACAATACGGTAAATATTTACTGGAAATTGCAAACAGGCTCTTTAAATAACGTGCGTCAGGACGTTTGACACGGGCTTTAAAATTGTCCTTATCAATTATACCCGCAATATAATTTTGATAAATAGATAAACGGTAACAAATATCAAAATCCGTTTTTTGCTGATTTACCTCCTATCTTTTCTATATAAGTAATATCTTAATGTGGTATAAATTAGTGACAAGGCGTACGCGAAAGAGAACTGTGACTTCCAGACAAAACAAGATTTTTCCAGAAGTAAGTTAATATTGATGTTTTTTGCTTTTGTTTGTCAATATTCCTTATTAGCCAGTAGCTGATCTAGCAAACTCCATATGGCTTAAAACGTTTTAAAATGTCAGTTTAGTTAGCAAATCTCTAATAATTAATGTCGCTTACGGAGAAAGTGGTTTATTGGTATTTGTCGTTATTTTTGTATTTTGAACAAAACTTATAATAAATATTAGAAAATGAAATATAATTAAATGGTCCCTCGACTAACTTTTATTTTCATCTAAAAAAAGACTAGAGCTGAACGGGCAAACTCCGTTCCGTCTTAAAATAAACTATATAATATTTCATTTAATGTTGAGAGATTCGTTCTTTGTCCAATATCGAATGCCTTTTACAGAACGAAAATTTATGGTTTTACAATTGTTTTGCTATTAATTTATATTTCGTTTCCATTTACATCCTCCTTGAACTTTAATCAATGTTTTGAAAATGACGGAAGAAGATAGACGAAGGATAAGATCGATACAAACGATGTTGTTTTTAAAATTAGTCACGTCATCAGGGAGATTCATTCTTTTGATGTTTTCCACAAAAAGAGGGCTGGCTTAATGTTCTATTTTATAATAATTCATCCGCTTATATTCCTTATTTACAGTAAAATTTAATCATCTATTTAAAATTGATGATAAATATTGACACACCTAGTTCCTCTTCTCGCGCCGATAATACAAGACGCATTATAATTTGCATTTCAAACAAAGGCATGACTCTCTATTAAAAGGGATGGTGAGAATACGAAAACTTAGAGACAACCAGCAAATTAGTACCTTATAAGAGTTCTTTTTTTGGTTGAGAGGATCGCCTCTACGCTCGCCGCGTCATAACGTTTTTATCGCGTTGACGTCAAACAAAATCGTACCATGAGAAGACGCCGAAACATAGGATGACAATATTGTTGTTTGAATTTATTGTCAGCTCTTAAACATTGAATGTACTTCCAAAGACAGCAGCAGCAATGGCATCAACCAAGTTATTGTATTTAAATGGTTGTATAAAAATATATGTACTCGTTTTTTAATTAAAATAGATGCCACAAATTAAGGGTGGTCCTCGATTTTCCAAATAACTTATCATCCTATACGGATGACGTAGATAAATAAGACCTAAAAACATTTTGTACTAGCTTCCATCAAGCCAATCCGCGGGCCTTGGCTTGATTCATATAAAAGTAATGAATCCCTGGATCTTAAAAAAAGCAGCGTTCAAAGCGTAGTACGAAAATCAAGTATCATTTTAATCTCAAGAACATTGTAGCTGTGAAAGAATTTTGGAAATCTGACCAGGTTTCTAGAAATATAACTAAAGTTATTACTTAAATGTTCCTATAGATGAGGAGCTTCGTCATCATCGTGGTACTATCAGCAGTCGCAGCCTGCTATGGTTCTTCTATCCTCCCTGGGAAGGCAAACATGTTCTCATCCTTCGTTCGAGAACAGATGTCAAAGGGTTGGATCTTGGAGCATAATGAAGAAGACGCTGCCCAGAACAGAGTCACTCTGACCAAAGGAGAAACTAGTGATGATTATATTCTTTTCTATCAGTAAGTATTATAAAAACTAATCCGTCTGAGCAAGTCTTGAGATGTTTGTTAAATAATTATACAAAATAACTTCAGATAACTTTAGGACGCGTTAGGGCAGGTAGTGATATTTATGATAATGATGGCGATTTCAAATTGAGTTTAGCTTAAATGAGTACCTATCAATGACGCATGGAATATTATTTATTTATTATTAGTTCATATGTAATGGTACCAGTGGGCAAAGGAGTTAAGATATCTGCGACTAATCCTTGCACACCTATATCAAATACACATGCCATAGTATGTTGGTCAGACTGCGATATCTGTTGACGTTGAGTGGGCTCCACCAGGGGCGAGTTTTGCCCACCTCTGAACGGACATGACCATTGCAGCGTTCATCTCTTTTATTAAATTCACATGTAACAATCTAAACATATTTGTTTTTCAATGAATATACGCTTTGTATATTCGTTTGCTACGCCCTTACCTGGTGATGTATTGTAATTTCCTAGCTACTCCTGGTAGGTACAATGTGCAATAAATAAATAAATATATATTTTCAGGCAAACATGTTACGTGCCAGCTATACCCTACGACTTTGGGCGTTGCGATGTGGTGTACCGTGGTGAACCAAACGAGAAAATTTATAGTATCCAGATTACCTCTTCCTGGCCACCACCTTCTTACATCCATTCCGAAGGGCTAGGGACTAATGTTGGCCGAGTACGTATAGTATCACAATGGGGAGAGATGCTTTACACAATCGTTAGAATGTATGGCAAAATTATTGAAGATAATTCAGAATCATAAAGCTTGAGCTTATTAATCGTTAAGTCGATTTTATCCTCACTATAACCTGTGTATCACTGCATATCCCGAAAATAAATTCCATTAAAAAAGCTATTTATTATTTTATTTAATGATACTGAATGTGATTGGGGACTGATGTTTGGGGAATTATTGGGACTCCGGTAACCTCACTCACACAACCCTGTGACTGGTTCACGCCAGTTTTCTGTGAAGTCGTGGTATCTTTTCGGTCGAGGCGACCCATTCGTGCCAAGGTTTGGCTCTCCCACACTTAAATCAATCATTATTAAGGTCCGATGGTATCTTGTTTCACCACCTTTATACATAGTTCATGTAAATTACATTCTATAGATAGATATCCAAATTCATCTGATACATACGTTTTTATCGTTGATTTTTATATTTGTGCTCCGCTCTTTGTGTGATCTACAATTTTTTCCGGGTTTCCGAAAACCCAAATCCCTGGCTATGTCCATTTCGATGATACAGGAGAGACGAGGGAGGGGGTTAAATAGCCGGGAAGATAAAAGGATGGCACGGTCTTGCCCGTTTTGCTCGAGACTAAACTCAGATGACGATAATTTAATGCGATAAGATGCGATAAGAAAATTCTGAGTTTCCAAGCCGACCACCATCAGCTTGGAAACTCATATGGGTAAATTGCTACAGCAGCACTTGAACCTCGGGGGCTACCAGATTGAAGTAGAAGGCGTCGACTATGCTGGGCCTGTTTTCTCAGCTAGTCGACAAGGACGCGGTTGTCGACTAATCAAGGTGTAAGTATATTGTTTTATTTGTATTATTTACTACATAGGCTGTTCATATCAAGTTGGTAGATGATTCAACAAGCAACAATTTCCTGACAGCTCTTCGTAGACCTAAACACAATTACTTCGATAATGGAACCTCATTTGTCGGAGCTTATAATGTGATTTCGAAATTTATTAAGGATAACTGCAACTCTTTACCTAGTGATTTGGCTGAGGTAGAAACAACCTTTCGTTTTATCCCTCCTTATGCTCCACAATTTGAAAGTCTTTAAGAGTCTTTTATCAAGTCTATTTAATATCTTTTAAAGAAAGTACTAGAAAATTGTAATCTTATATTTCGCACCACCCGTGTAAAAAAGACGTAAGTGAACTTGCGTCAAATTTTTTTTATTTTTATTTATTTTATTTTTATTTTACTTTATTGGGACATAAAACAGTTACACATTACAATAAAGTATGACACAATATATTTAAAACTAAGTAAACGTGTAACCCACACCAATGTCCGCGAAATAATAGCTTAAAAAATTATTAAACGCGTGCGTTAATCATACAGGAAATTTAGTAGGGAATTACTCGTGTGTTATTTGAGGTAATAAGAGTTAGATAACTACTTTAAGGATTCAATAGCCATCCTTTTGAACTTAGAGTGCGTAAGTGCAAAGATATCTAATTCGATGAAGTGTGTGTTATACGTATCTACGATGCGTCGAAGAGGCGCCCGTGCGCCAGCGTGGGTTCTGCACCTGGCGGTGTGGAACAGCCGAGGCACGCGCGCCCCTCGGCCCATCACAGTTCTAGGTACAATGTAACATATGCTATTAGTAATATCTGGACAATCGAATCTGTTATTACACAAACCATGAAGCATCATGGCCATAAGTAGGCTGCGTCTTGACTCCAGGCTCTGAATCTTGTAACGTTTTAATAATTGAGTGTATGGTAATTTCGACTTGGTGCATTTGTAGTGCATAACACGTAAATATTTTTTTTGAACCATTTCAATTCTTTTTATATAAACATCAAAGATAGGACTCCAAATCGGGACTGCAAATTCTAATTGAGAGCGAACCAAAGCTTTGTATAGCAGTAGAAACGTAGATGGTCTTTTAAAGTCGCTTGAGGATCGCATAACGAAACCAAACATACGATACGCTTTGTTAACAATGTTATCAACATGGAGATTGAAATGCAATTTCGAGTCCATCACAACCCCAAGATCTCGAATGTGATCAACTCTTTGTAGATGGGTACAATTGAGACTATAATCAAATTGTATAATGTTTCTGTTTTTTGTGAAAGTGATTGCGTTACACTTAGGTAAGCTAAGCTGAAGTTTGTTGGAAGAACAATAAAGGGATAGCCTATCGAGGTCTTCCTGTAGAAGTAGGCAGTCTTGAGTGCTCTTGCAAGACTTATAAATCTTAACGTCGTCGGCGTACATAAGAAATTGGGAGTGAATGAAGCATTTCTTAATGTCATTAATAAACAGGGTAAAGAGTAGGGGACCCATTATTGAGCCCTGGGGCACTCCGGAGGTGACAATAACTGAGTTTGATTGGAAACCATTGATTACTACCTTTTGGGATCTGTTAAATATATAAGCCATGAACCATCGTAACAAATTGCCACGGATACCATTATATGCTATTTTATCTAAAAGCAGTTTATGGTCCACCCTGTCAAACGCCTTCCGAAAATCCGTGTACACAGCGTCCACTTGAACTTGCGCATCCATATTTTTAAATATAAAGTCTGTGAATAGCATGAGATTAGTATTCGTCGTACGTATATTAGTATTCGTATTACGTAAATAAAACGAGCATCACGGTTTACACCTTCTGTCAAAATTTCGTGAAGCTATTTACAAAAATGAAGGAATAAATGCAAAAAAAACTAAAATTTTGCGACTTTAAAAAACATAAAAATCCAGCATAAAATAGAGGTACGCATATTTACATTTATTCGCTTTATAATTTATCCTGCTAATAAAGTCATAATAATGTTTACGTAAATTTTAAAAGAAGATTTACAATAAACTCTATAACGCAAATATAAATAATTACTTGTTCCTGTATTTTACAATCTAGGACTATTGTGTAATTCTAATTACTTATTTCTTCTACAAAACTTTTAGCTAATAGTTTATGTGTGATTATAGTTACATACTTTCTACCCAGCAAAACTTCACAACGTGTTAAGTGTAGTTGCAGTTACTTCTTTATTACGCGAAACATTTTATAAATGATGTTGAGTGATTTTGAATACCTGCTTTTACAAGAAAAAAAAATAAAAATATGTTTGTGAAATTGAAATGAAAATAAAAAAAAATAGTCTGATTTAGTGTCGTATATAGTAAAAAGTACTTATTGGATGTATTGCACCGAACAACACAAGTCGCCTACACCGCATTGTGCCTACACCGGCACGCGGGAGATTTCCATTATAAACGCAAGTACCTAAGTACCTATCAACCGGACCGGCTATAACATCATAGTCGATGCTCCTATTGGCTCATCAGACCACTGAAGGTCAGCGGATTGGGATGGGATGAGATCCTTCTTTGCATCCTATCCTTGGAGACGAATTTGTTTCTCCCAGGATGATCCCAACGCTACTGCTGACTCTCTTGCTGACGTGGTGTTGCAAGGGATGGAACTCTTCCTTTGTCCTCTGTGGTCCCCGTCAGTGGCAGATCGCGGTCCCTGTTTCGGCTCTTCTTCTAGAAAAGCTTCGTGCAGGAAGTAAAAGGCTTACCCAGCCTTGGCTGACGCGGTGGCGGAGCGGGATTTAAAAACCGTTTAAAAAGGAGTATAATTTTGCCTCCAGGTCCTTCAAAAGAGTCATAGCGGGTCCAAGTCAAACCATATCGGTAGGGTTGAAGAGAGGCTTGAGCGCCTTTTTTCAGGAACTCGTGCGTTCTGGTCTCTCGACAAGATATCGGAGCCAATTTCTGCAGACCATCATTCTCACCTCTGCACGTGGGGAGAGAATCGTTGGCGCACGACGCAAAGGAAAAAGCTTTTGGGTAAATCCTTTCCGTCAAATTGGGCATTGGATGAGGGGGGCGTAAGCAGCCGGTTCGGCCATAGCGCAGGTGTAATGCCGGATATTCGGTTTACCAGCTCTTGGTACGATTGGTGCTCATGTCTCTTTACATCTGACTCATCATCATCATGGATCTGACGGAATTCCACCCATTGTATTAAAGATGTGCGCTAAAGAGTTGGCACCAGTCTTAATACGTCTTTTTCGGCTCTCATACTCTTCAGGCGTAGTCCCGAAAATGGGTGATCGCTCAAATCTGTCCAATCACAGAGCGATAGCCATAATTTCCCTCTTTTCGAAAATGATGGTAACATCTATTAACTGCCAGCTCCTTCGGTACTTGGAGGATCATCAGCTTCTTAGTGACCGACAGTATAGTTTTTGTAAGGGCCGGTCCGCTGGTGATTTCCTTGTTTACCTGACACACTGTTGGGCACAGGCGATCGAGTCCAAGGGGGAAGCGATGGCAGTCAGTTTGGACGTAGCGAAGGCCTTCGATCGGGTTTGTTCTTCCTCCATATCAATAATATGTTGGATGACAGCACGGGTCACGCCTTTTACGCCGGCCGTGCTAACATTTCTCGGGAAAAAGTCATCGAGAGTCGAAACAAGCAGCACCCCCCTCACAGCTTCGGCCGGTATTGGGATACTTGATGTCGACATATTGTGCGAAGTCCAGTTGTCCAGTCCAGTCCGTGGTCAGAGTCTAGAGGGTAAGGCCAAGTTAGCCTCGAAGAAGCTCGAAGAAGAGGCAGTATTTCACCCCGGAGCATCGCTGTTACTTTACAAGGCGCAAGTTCGGCCCCATATGGAATACTGCTACAGCTTCTCCCTAGTAACAGCTTCTGGACCGCATTCAACGACTAGCTGTCCAAATTGTTGACTGCCTTGTTATCGCGGACCGGTTGGAATCTTTGGCACTGCGTAGGGATGTAGCCTCGTTATGTATTCTCTGTCGCATTTGGGGATATCGCGGGGAGTGTTCTGAGGAATTGTTCGATTTAATCTCGCTTCTTTTTGCCAACGTCCTACGTGAAAGCATTTCCATCCCCATCACATAGATGGTTGGCAGTCAACAACTGTGCAATTCACGCG